TAGAAAAGTTGTTTACTGCAGACAGAAAAAAAAAACCCACACACATGTTGTATAGAAATCATAGAATAAATTCAATATATCAAGGAAAATAGTGGATATCACATTATGTGATTAATAGACATATTTAATTTCATTACAAAATAAGAGTAATTGTAAATAATAAATGACCAAGTACAACTTGTGATGAGGCACATAGGATAGTCTAAATTAAAAAAATGTAATAATTTAAAACAACTTAAAATACACCAGAGTTGTCGAGTTATATCAAGTCTAGAAAATGTTAATAAAGTCTTCGGATAAAATACCGGGCTCTATAATTATTGTTAACCTAATTATAATAGTAAAAACAAAATTAATTTTCCGTAAATACTCATGTTTTTCAGACCATTTAAATTTAAATTGTCGCGCTTTTTCATAAAGCCAACATTTTTTAAAAAAAATTATAAAATCAATGCCTTCACTAATGATGAGTTCCAAAGACCAAATGTTTTTACCAAAATAATATTCAAACGTGGTTCAGAAGTTAATAGCACGGCGTAACACGACAATATAATTAACATTCGTGCATTTTATATATTAAATCTACGAGCACTAGTGATGTGACATAAATCCGGATTATCAGAAAATACGGATTTCGAAAACTCAAATTTGCGGATGCAATTGTTAGACTCAACAGAAATGCTTGAATATTAAACAGGAGGTTCATTATAAGTCGTACTTGGCGGTGAAAAAAAAAAAATTGAGTTTAGTTTAGTATTTTTTTATACGAATTTTTAATATCAATTTTTGACGAAAATCGTAATTATTACGGTCTTTCAAAACACGTTTTAAAACGTTGAATCGTTTTTCGTTAACAATGGTTTACCGTTGCTTACAGATATAAATTAAACAAATTTATGTATTTTACCTACCAAACATCCCACCTACAACAGTGGCACACATGTCCTCGATACCAGCTATTTTTATTATTATTATTTGTTTATTTTTTTTCGCCGCTGTCTATTCGGAGTTTCGAAATCCGAATTTACAAAAACACGCCGGATTTCGGAATGTCATAATTCCCGGATTCTTGAACTTCGGTTTATAATATGCGGATTTTTATTTTTCCCATCGCCTTCAGTACCGCGGGTACCTGTATATTATATAAATAATATTGCTCGGTGTCTATGCTCAACGTCTAAAAAAAAAAAAAAAAAAAAAGCAAGAGAGAGAGAGAGAGAGAAAATAACGTAATATTATAATGCAATAAAAAAAAAAAAATTGTAACCAAAAACCTATACTGGATTTGTATGTTGTATATAAATAATTACGTACCTACCTGGGTTACAGTATACATTATATCATTGTACATACTGTTATATCGAACGGGCAATCGGATCGGTTCGGTCAATGTACTTTTATCGGACATTTTTGTCCGTATTACAATCTTTATCTGCATTAAAAAAAAAAAATAATAATAATAATAATAATAAATCGAGTTCACAACTGCAATAATTTAATCTAACATACGTGCAAAAAATCGAATTCGCATAGTTCCGCATATCAATATACGGGTCGAGTTACAGATTTACGCCGGTGTTATTGACCTATTATCGAATATTGGGAATCGGGTACCGTACATGACATAATTAATACGGCAATCCCATACAGTTCCAATTTCACTGTAACGACCTGTTGCCTTGCGGTTTATAAAAGGTATGTACGTAAACGGTCAGAAAGTTATCGGATCTACCGTAGTATTGGTAATAGCGTACATACACAGCATTATAATGATAATACGTGTATGTTATTATTGTTTGTCCAACACCTTTTGAGCGAACCGTAATAATATACCTGCATTGTATTATTATGCTTCGCTCAAAAGAGACGCTTAAAAAAGACGAACACGTTTGACATTTCGCCCGGCGGGCGGGCCACAGTTGTACCTAGACGAAAAACGTCTGGAAGATGGGATACAGAAGGGAATTCAACTGTGCGCAACGATATACCACCGCTAACTGGGGGCGAAATTACCGGGGGGGACGGGGACGGAGGGATATGGGAGATTGATACCCACGAGCATTTGCCTATACATTTGTAGAAAAAACGTAATGGTCTGGAAATGTTGGCGAATTCACTATGGTGTTAAATTTTCAAACGAAGAGGTCATTGATGAACTTTCTGAGAAGCCTAGAAATCCGGACGTAATGTCCTAATATGAATTTAATTAAAATATTGATAACAGATTCGTAAAATTTGTTTCGTTAATTACACAAGGGGGGCAGGACCGTATTTGACGGAGGGCTTTAAGGGCACTTGCCCCGGGCAGCAGATGTTTGGGAGACACCCGGATGCCGGAACACTATGTGAAAAATGTAAAACTCTGTAACATTTGGTTTAGGAAATTTATGAACAAAAAAAAATATCATTTTCTAAAAATAAATATTGATTTGGGCAGCAAATTAACGAGTCAAAATTTCACGTGACAACATTAGTAATGGAGTACGCGGTGAACACTAAATATTTCAGTATGTAGGTATGAACGTTCCAGTGGTCAGCAGTTTTTACTTCGAAATAATTAATGTAACAGTGTGAAGATGTGATTTCAAAATTGTAATAAATAAAATGTTACGAGATTATTTGCATATTACTTATTTTTTACTCTTAAAATTATGAAGGTTTAATAAAATTATTATAATGTTGATGTATTTAAATTCGTGATACATGTACAGCAGTACTTCAAACTGGAAATAAACACATTTTAGGTAGATAGTTATAACGTGCGAGTTTGTAAATTTTTAATTTTTTCATAAACTACTTAGATATTGGGTATTTTTAATTTTTTTACCGCCAAGGGCGTCAACAAAATAGTTACCCCGGACATCCAAAAGTCTAAATCCGGTCTTACCTCAGGGGCTGCTTGAAGTATTCTCACCTTAAATCACCGATTAAATTTTCCACTCACCCCTGACAAAAATATCCCGAAATCTACAAACCAAGTTTCCTCGGGGATCATCTGTAATGAAATTCATCAAATTTCCGCAGAATAAAATCCTTTTTAAACTTTTGTTTTGTAAAAACATAATAATTTTTGTAATACCTATTTCTAAACGCCCAGGCACCTATCCGTTTTTTGAGAATCGCGCGATTCAATTATACCTCCTCCGTGCCGCCACTGCTTTTCCTTATTCTCAGAATAGTATAGTTTGGTATAAACTAATAATAACAATTACTATAACATTTCAATGTTAACGTTAGGGCAAATTTAATTAAAAAATATATAAATTTGATCTTTTTTCATTTTAGCCTAGGTACACGTTATCTAATCTAAACAACATCTAAGTAATATTTCAAAATTCAATAACTCCCTCCTTGATAAAATCCTAAACACGCCATAACATTTGTCTACGTTTTAGTTGGGTTGATGAAACCAATTCCCGATTTGAGGTAGGTATTCAGTGTTTAATGTATACTATACACTTTAGGATCGGAGTGACAATCGGCCCCTCACCCACCGAATTTTAGTCAAAATCCACACTTAATGGTTTTGACCGTGCGTTGCGCTACCCATACTTTGGGTAATACGGGAAAATATTGTTATTGCCTATATTTTTTTCAAGGGATTGGACACCGATATTTTATTGCCTACTTTATTGTCATCATGCGCATCATAGCAATTTAGTCATTTAGACCAATAAATAATTCCCATAAATGGGAAAACCCGGGAATGGAAATAGAAAAACCGTAACAAAAACTAGGTGCAATATTAAATAAATATTATTAAAACAAATATAATGCAATACCTATGTAATTATTTTACCATAATATAGTATCTATATATTATATTGTTGACAAAGCAACACTGTCAACTGAACTCCACTCAGAATCGTTTTTTTGTTAGCAATAGTAAATCATTGCTCACAGATATACATTGAATTTCTTTTCTATTACCTTCTCAACTTTTCTCAATAATTAAAAACCAACATTTTTCAAAAGAAATTTGATTTTTTTTTTTATGAGATTTGCATATTTTTATATTTCAATATTTATTCAAATTATATTAAATAACAATTTTTTAAATATTTTTTTGATTTTCATAATTAACCATTGTGTTCAAAGTTCTAAAATTGTTATTATTTTCTGTTCTGTTTTACTGATTACCATAAGAAACCGATAGTGAAATCGAGCACAAAATAGATAAAACATCCCAAAAAAGTAATGAGCTTCCTACCACCTGTAGTATTTAAAATAAACCTAAACCTTGTTACTAGAGATCTAGTCGTTGAAAAGTCATCATGGATGTAAGAAAAATCCACAAAAATTTGATCATGATGGTCGGCTTGGAAGTTTGAACTAGATAACCTAGGATAACCTATACAATAGTATGCGCGTTTCTTGCGATCACCTTCCCCATATTGGTACTCTTGACTCGATTCATTATTGAATTTATCATAAATATGTCTTATATGAATTTTCAAAAAATTCCTTCCACCACATTAATTGTCCTAAATTTAATCTATCTTAATCCATATGCTTAGATTAGTAATAATAATTTACAAAGGTCGGAACATCGAAATGATCTCTTTTCCATATAAACAGCAATGGATGGATGCGCTCATAGATGTGTTTTTATCTACCGTCTGGTCTTTTCTATTTATGAACAGAGTATAGACAATACCCGTATAAAAGAAAACATTAGTAATCGATTTCCTTAATAACCAATTATAATAATCTATAAAACACTAAATAATAATTTTACAATTATCATTTGTTTTTACCAAAATTTATTATAATACTACTCACAGGTTTATAAGAAAATGAGTTAGATTTTATAGTCACTGATTTAATATAAAACTGTGTAATTTTATAATTGATTACATATAATATCACATGTCTAGTTGTATGTCTATGTTCAAACATAATACATAACAAAATATTTCTTTTTTTTAGGAAAAATATAAATATATTTTAAAAATAAAACTAAAAACAAACAATTCCAACAAAACTATAATTTTTTTTTTTTAACTAAAAAAATATGTTGAGTCTAAAACACTATTAAGATTAAAATTCCCTTTTTTTGGTAACTGTTCAAAAACATTTAACAAACCTTGAGTAGCAATGGTTTGATTGCTGAAAGAAAAAAAAAACTTGTATTTATTATGTAAAATAGATTATACGGTATTTTTCTATAATCTCGTTTATACTTACTAATCAGGAATTTTATATTTGTTAATCATAAAATTGGATAAATTTTCAAGAATTGGTTCGTTATGTAGTGATAGAAATTGTTCCCTACAAACCTAAATTCGCATTAATAAAAACAAAACAATTTAATATACAGTTCAAATTTAAAACATGATACACATTTATGATAATTACTTTTCCCATAATTTCAACAGTACTAGGATGTGTCCAAAAACAGTCATGTACTGATACATACGTAATTTCCGCACGTTCACAGTGTAGAGATGTTAACATCATATGACTTGAGTCTAATGAATGGATAAAATTAGGAGGAAAAGCGTTTTTTTGTTTCATTATATTTGGTCGACTAGAAATAATAATAAATGATGAAAAAAATAAATTACAGATTACGTTAATTTATATAATACTTACTCATACATATCCAATATAAAATGCTCTCCTATTTTAATATTATTTGGTTGTTTTGAACAGTCGTGGAATTTATTTCTACGGTTGTAAGGTTGAACTACTGGTAATCCTAACGGTGTTATCCATTCAACACTTTGACCACACGACTGTGATATTATACGAGCACATTCAGTAAACCAATCCTAAAATAATATACATAATATAAATTATATTGGAAAAAAGAAAATGTAATCAAATAAAAAAATATTACTAAAAACAAAATTTAGACTATATAACATAACATAGATAATATAAATTAACAATAACAAATAAATATCAAAAATGAATTATATATTACTTGAATTTCTTTTGTAGAAGTGAACATCTCTCTTAAACTTTCAAATGTTTTTGATACTAAATAAGTAGAAGCTGGCCAAACTTTATCTTTGGGAAATGAGTCAATATCTTACAAAGAAAGCCATAAAATATTATTAAATATACAATTAATATATGTGATGTAAACTAAATTTAGAAAATAATAACCTTTCAATTGCTTTGCAATCTGTAAACGAGCACCAAATCTAGTCACACCATATACAGTGGTCATCACAGTTTGTTTTATCACTTTACGTCTGACAAATCCATCTAAATATTTTGCTATGGCAATATTATTTTTAGCATCTTTACAGCGTTCGCGTTCAACCTTCAAAATAAATAAATTAACAAATATTTTTCAAATAATAAATTACAATGTTTTACCATAGCCGCAACACAACTATAAACATCTTGTGGAACAACCGAAGGAGTTAAATTGACACTCACAGCACCAGCATAATCTCTGCCTAAAGCTGCATAATGTTGCAAACCATTACATGATCCATCTTGGTGAACAGGAAAATTAGAAATAAAATGTTCTGGATTTTTCGACTGTAATGCACGGGATATCTCAATACAGCATGCTAAAGTTTGCCAAGGACTTTCGGATTCAGCCCACCACATTTTTCCCTAGTAAATCATGAATTCATAAAATAATAATACAAAATAAATATACTAATAAGACTGGCAAAGTTAAATATTAGTAATATTTATGCACACTTGTAAAGGGTTTTCGGCAGAATCTAAAATATCTTGAAGTATCTCATTTGCATATTGAAGTCTCTGTTTAATAGAATCTCTTTTTTTCAATCCAGTTAAATTAACACAATGTATCTAAAAATTAATTTACATTACATCATGTATTAAGTATATACTTAGTATAAGGTATTTACATTACAAATGATTAATTTACAAAAATTACCTTTAGCCAGTTAAGACCATTGGCTCCAAGAGGTTTTCCTTTAGCAAAACATAATAATGATCTGGCCATATCTGAGCCCAAATGATTTAAGTGAGGAGGGCATGGATATACTCGTCCACGAAAATCCATATTATGAGGTAACCAAAATATTTTACCACAAAACTAAAATTATATTAATTATTTTTGTTCAACGTTTATTTTTTTTAAATTTAATGATACATACATGATTTGCTAAAGAAAGCCGATATAAAGCATCACACCACAAACTGAATGTTTCGGCTTTTTCACGTTTTAATAATGCTCTTTCTTTATGCAATTTGGAACGTTCCTCTTTAGTCATGGTTGGTAATATGGGTTGTGGGGATGGAAAAGCAGATGTTGGTTTTGGAATATCTAATTTTGAAGAACCGCCAGAACGGAATACTTGAAGTACTACATCCAAAACCTATTTCAAAAAAATCACTTCCAAAGTTAATAATGGAAACATTTTACATTATAAACTTTAAATATAATTAATTTTACTGGTTTATTAATAGTCCATGGTATAGATGCTAACTGATTCAGAGCATCTAAGGCTGGATAAAGTTCTTGTTTTGGTGTTTGCTCAAGTCTATACCATTGTAAAATAGCTTGTTGAGGTAGCCTAAATAAATATATGAATACTGTATTACATATATATTCAAACATCACAAAGTATAACCTGATTTATTATTTGCAACCTAAAAAAATATATTAACCTTATCAGATCTGCTTTAGCAACAATATAGCCACCAAAATTAATTGATGTCCAAGGAATAGGGGGACTTAACATGGGAATCAAAGAAACATCAAACATTAAATCATCAGGTTTCGATGCTTGAAAAAGTTTTGATAATATAGGATGCGGTTTAATTTCTTGTTTCACATGTTGACCTTGTCCACGAAACACTGTATAAAATGCGGGTAATAAATGCCTAAAAATTATATAAAAGTATATGAAATAAATATTTTAATATGCAATAATATTTTATAATTTACTCTTCTTTATTATTATCTTTCATGATATTAACATCAATTTTTATATCTTTAATAATAATATTGTACAGAAATTTTCCAATACTATTTAGTATAGTTGAAGACCATTGTTTATCTTCGATTTCCTAAAAACAGATATAAAATAAATACATTCAATGATCATAAATAATTTATTGGAATTGAATTATAAATAATGTACAATATTTGATATTTAACAAGGTCATTTTAATATTATTAAATTTAATTATGAAAAAAAAATATAGTTTACTAGTTAAATATTATAATTTATTTAAATAAAAAACATTTTTCAAAGGATCATGAAACAAAAAAAAAAAAAATGAATTGATAGATTTTCCACTGATAAAATTATTTTTAGTATAAAATTTTGGGTATGTTGACACGCTGATACGATAGAGCTTAAATGTCACAAGATATCACAAGATCACACAACAACACTTGCGACTATAGCCTTACATGCAGTTTTATATTGTAATCACTAAACTTTCAAGTTATCTATTAAAATAATTCACTTTACTTACTCATTTACTTTGTATACAATAAGTCTAACTAGAATTTATTAAACTCAATGCTACAATAGTTTTGATTGTATTTTCTTAAATTGTTTGTGTTTTAAACTATTGATTATACAGCCATATTATAGGTTTACAAACATTTTTGTATAATATAGAATTTCATTAGTTATCTTACAACTATAGGTATAGCAGCTTACTCAATACAAAAAGAATAAGTATTCGATGTCACAACAAAAAGTATCCTACCTAAATTTGTAAATATAAATTTTGATAGAAATACAAAGTAAAATGGCTCAACATATGTTACACCCATATGGGATATGCATGTTTCATTTATTTTAATAAATAATTTAATATTTTTACTATAATTACAATAAAATGTCAAACAAACATGAATTTTAGCAAAATATGTTAAATTTGTATTTCAAAGACATAATATAAATTAAAACATGAAAAACATTACTGTGTAAACAAATGGACAGCTGCTAAAAAATTTGAGATTGTGATATCTCGTATTGTTTTTAAAATTGTAATATCTTATGAATGGCATACCTTTTTTTTTTTTGTACAGATATGTTTTAAATTAGCTAACCAATCAGGGTGGAGTAAAACCCCAATTGATTTTATTTTACTTAGTAAAAATAAATACATGTCATAGTATTTATTACTGATGAATATTTGAATAACAAAAATATTACAGATTTCAAATTAAAATAAATATCATAGAAAAAGAGTTTTTTGTTTAATTTTAAATTATCTGGTTAAAACCTAAACAAAAATGAAGCAAATACAATACTTACAATATCCGCACCTATGGATTTATATTTGTGAACCAATTTTTGCCATTGTTGTCTTGTATTTTGACTATCAGAATGTTCACTATTTATGTACCATGAACAATAATCACTATAAACAGTTTTTATTTTTTCCAAAACTTTTGTGTTTTTTTTATATTTGATTTGATACCTATAATTAAAATATAATATTTAAAAAATATTCATTATTTATACGAGACTAATAACATTAACTACCTTAATCGAACTTGATTAGCTAATTGTCGATAGAGAAAATGTACTGTTGGACTAAATGTTTCGGATCCTTCAGCTAACTTCCGTACTTCTTGTAAAATTATATCAACATATTGTTCTGAATTTAAAACTCTTAAATAAGGATAGATATTTACGTTACGATAAGACTTTAAACAATTTTGTTGAGCACATATTACTTCCAATTCACGAGTAATTGCATTACGTATAGTTTTTTTCCACTTTTCTTGTAAAAGTTCTAATTTTTTTCTCTATAAACATATAATTTGAAAATTAAATCTAACCAACTGAACAAATTATTTAAAGAGATATTCAAGTGTTACATAATCATTTAATGTGAGCTATGAAGTACTGAAATCAACTGACAAGAGAGAGGGTAAAAACTATTCTTGTGTAAGAAGTCTCCCCTATTTCACCAGGTAAGGGAAGTTGGTTTAAAAAGACAAAAAAAACTACTAAAGTAATATTTGAACACCATCTAAAAACTTAATTTCATAAAATTTAAAAACTAAGCATTGTACTATTAAATTGATTAGGATAATATCAAAGCCTTTGGAAATTGTTATTATTAGGTATAATATTGGGCTAAATATTCTTATATTTTTTTTAGGGCATATAATATAATATAATTTATTTTACATAAATTGACATTTTTAAATACTTGCATAGTTTAACACTTTTTGAGAAGGTGAAACATTATTATCAACTGACTTTACTTTTACAATAGAAGCCATTTCCATTTCTATTTGATTATGCACTAGTTCATGCATTTTTTTTTCACTCAAAAGACCTTCAGCAGGACATTTAAATGTGAACTAAACATAAAATAATAACTTAATAAATATTATATATATATATTCTAACTATAATTCAATTTTAAAAATATTCTTACCTTTTGTTTGTTTAAATGATCTAGAAGAGGGCAGGAATAATATATATTTTCCATATTTTTACTTAACACAAATGAAGGATCTAGTAAATATACAGCTTTTAGGACTTGTTCTCGTTGATTTCCAATAAAGATGCATTTGTCAAATAAATCTTGAAATGAAAATCCCTATAAAATAGAAATCATATCATAAAATGGACAAAATGTATATTTTTAATAACTTACACCAGAAATAAGCTGTTTAGATACTTTTTGTAACTCATTAATAGGACACGGTTCTTTTTTATTTATTAAACATTCAAGTGTAGCCGCATATACTTGTATATTAGGTTTAACTTGTGACAATTCTAATAGTTTCCAAATTTCTTTCAATTTTTCATAGTTCCCCTAAAAAAATATGGTTTTTGAAAGGGTGGTTAATTTTGATTTTTTATCAATTTGTAAATTAAAAACTGTCAATTTAACAAAAATAATTAAAATAAAACTTTGTGACATCTATTTCACCCTAATAATGTATATAACATATAGAACTGCATAACACAAATTGTATATTTTTTTTTTCTGAGAGGTTATAATCTTAAAATTATCAATAACATAGTCCATTATTTTAATAATAGAATTGAGTCTAAAGAGAAAAACAGTAACAGTAAAAAAAAATAATACAATAATTACATTTGTTTCCAAACAAATTGATATGTAAATCAGGTTTGGGCATAAAAATCACAATCAGTGATATAACAAAGGTTTAAATATACGGTTTAATAAGGTTTTAATATAGTTTTGGAACTTTAAAACTGAAATACTGAACATTTTAGAAATATTGACGATTATCGTTTTTCCCCGGGGCCTTTCAAGTGTATTTCATATATATTAAAAAATCAAAATAGTGTGAAGGTGTGAAGCTTATAAACATAAACCATATTAATTGTTTAAATCAGAAAAGTATAAATACTAACTATTACCATCTAAATGTACAGTATATTTTGATACTATCAAAAAGAAAAAGAAATTAATTAATTACCTTACTTGCAAAACCATGCATTAAACATGTAAAAATATTAATATCAGTTATCTTTAGTGATATTTTATTTGACAGACTTTTATAACAATACTGAGTTAAAGCAGCTAGTCCTCTATTTAGAAAACCACAACATACCTAAAACAATTAAAATCTGTATGAAATAAAAAAGTTAAAAATAAGATAAGGTAGACATAATAAAATATGAAATTTAGTATTTACACATAAATCTATATATGCCAAGAGTGTTTGGTTCAGACTTTTCTCGCGGCCTTTAATATTCATCTGTTTTATCATTTCTTTTAGATTATTTTTATTTTGTTCAGCAAATGTTTGAATATTTTCTTTTTGTAATCTTTAAAAATTGAATTGAATAATAATAGAATAATAACAATGATTTTATTTTTTTATTTTTACTCACAATTGGTCCTTAGCTTTGGATGATTTCATTCTGGTGTACATATCAACAAACTCTTGTTCTTCTTTTATGCTGTTAGAACAAAATTTCATGTCAGTATCATTTTCTGCCATTGCTATTGTTTGTAGTAATTCAGTATCTTTTAGCAAATTAATTTGATCATCATTCATTTCATCTATATCATCTAAAAATTTTTCTTGAAGACAAATTTTGTTCATGTTGGATTCAGTATTTGTGCTAGTTATAACAGAAGAATTTTTCTTTTTTTTTTCTGTTTTAGGAAAAATAGCCACTGGTTTTTTACAAGAAACCATTTTATGAACTTGATTAGGTTTTAAATGTTTTAATTTTACTTTAGATTGACTGGTGACACCATTAGTAACTAAACACAAAACAAATTAAAATTAATACTTATAATTTTTAAAGACAAGGAGAAGGATTCAAGTAACATAAAATTGTTCTTAGTTACGAAGTACAGAAACAAACACTAAGTTTAATTTTAAAAAAATCCAGGGATTATTAAATAATTATAAATTAAAATTCCTAAAAATTAGTGTAATACACTAATAAAAATGTACTAAGATATTTTATAGTAATTGTTTAAGTTAGATATTGTAATTAACACTAACCTTGAACCACTTCTGTAAATTGTTTCTTTTTTTTGAATTGTTTAGTTTTTGTCAGTGTTTTATTTTGTATACTTTCAGAGGTCGTAGATCGAAACCGTAAACACAAACAACCTTAATCAAATTAAATTAAATTAAACCAACTTTAATATCATACCATAATAAATAGTAAATATTACTCGATATGTTTGAACAATTCATGACTTTTGGTAGAAGAGAGTTTTTAATTGAAATTACTTGAGGACCATAACTTATTTGAGAACGAAATTTAAATAATCTATACATGATTTTGCTTTAATAATTAAATTAATGATCATCTATAATTAATAAAAACACGGCTATTGATACAAAATATTAATGGTAGCGCTACGAGATAAATTGACCGGGAACTATTCTTATCAAAAACGTCGAGTGCTGCAGAGCCCCGGTCTATGTGATCAACAATCCATAATATATTATAACCGCTCCGACTGAAAACTTAAACCACGTGCCACTGACTAGGTGATATCACAAACTAAGATACACTGGAATGGTAACGACAGTCTGAGGGTGAGTGGAGGAATGACTTTTAAATGTTTCGATTCGGCACAACCACGAACTAAAATATGTCTTGCCATGCATATTTTATTTAGTAGATACCCCATAGAGCAATATAGAGATGCCGTTCCGTCTGTATATTGAAACGCAAAAGGTTTCTATTTTATAGAATACACATACTTTTATAAAAAAATATTGTGAAATATCTGGTACACTGGTTACTACTACTGAAATATGTTATCACTTTATCAGTGACAAAATCATAATTCCCATGCAACATATTAAAGTACAGACAACACATCGTACCAAATATTTTACAATTTTTTTTCAAAAGTAATGGTACTATAAAATAGAAACATTTTGTGCAACTCGTTGTATAGTACGATATAGGGAACGGCCTCTCTGTATTACTCTACGAGGTTTCCACGATTTAACCATAGAAAACGAAAATACAATGTAAATTATTCATAGATAATAAATACATGGATTAAGGTGTGATATCAACAAAAACGCAATTCAGACTAGCGGCCGCCTGGCGGTCATATGGGTAAAAAATTACGCATTCCAACTGTTATCATTTTGTCCGTATGACCGTATTAATCGGACTGTCTCTTATAAAGGTAAAACGATCCGCTCTCCCGCATTAGTCCCCTGGGCTTTTTTTCTATCTCACATCAGTTTGAACGTTTACAGTCCAAAATAGTTTGTGCTAAAAATGAAAATCGTGCCAGTCATTTCAAATTTAGAACTTTTATCCTAAACACCTTCAAAATAGAGCCTTAGCCTGCCCTTCCTCTTATCTTTTTGAAAAGACACCTGGACCGGAGTTTCACACCAGTCAGCCTCGCGATATCGCCACATAATCTTGAAGGACCAGATATCATTTGAAAGCCCAGTGCAACCACTCAATGGTCATCATCCATGACTGGTGTAGAGTGGAATGTTTTGGCCCAACAAAAGTTGTACCTATTATAGTACCAATTACACACAAAAAATAACCATGCTAAGCAGTACAGTACTGTGGGAGAGAAAACAATACTTATTTAAGAGTAAAACCCAGTATTTTATCAAATATTTAACCATATGAACCAGGCTTTAAATTATTATTTGGCCATAATTTTACTGTTTTACCTACAACACTTACTATATTCTTATGTTCCACAACCCGGTTATAATTCAATTTTCTGTCAACCTTACACAAATGGAAATGTATGAAGACTACACTCCCCTCCCTGGTCCATGATAAACAGATATCATGCACATAAATAAAGACCTACTAAATTCACTTTTGTATAAGAAATATAATTTGTATTCAATTACAAGTACAAGATGAGTTTATGACTGTAAGTGTCTACAAGTGTCTTACAGTACAATTAAAATAGATTAATATTTAGTATTTGAATATTACAAATTTAAATATAGTTATAGAAATATTATACTTTAGAACAGTTATTAACTATCTGTATCATGTTCTAATAACTAAATGCCCACACTCAAACTTTCAAACATAATTCTACCTAGATACAAACAGTACTTTTATATACTTACCAAATTGTAATTTTGCTACAGATTTGTTTAAACCAAAGTCTAGTTTTTCAGCTTGAAGCAAAGGATCTTATACCATCTTATATCTTAGTCTAAGTTAGTTAATGAGATATATAAATGAACAATAGTAATTACTCAATACTCTGAACATACATATTCAAAAAATGTTTTTACTACTAATAACATTCACTATTCAGTTCAAATAATCATTAATATTGTTATACCAGCAAAAAAAAGTTATGGAGCAAACAAATAATTTCAGAAATTATTACTGTTAAAGAAAAGAAAAAAAGTAATTCATGTATTCAGAGTTGGAAAACAAATAATAAACACATACAAATTAAAATAATTGTTTTATTGAACCATCCATAATATGTGTACAAAATAGTCAGGATCAATGAAGAGAAGGAATAACCTAGAAAAAAAAAAATTCAATTAGATTTAAGTATTTATAGTATTTTTAGTCACAAAGACACTAGTCATGATCTAAAAAGTGATTAGAACTATTTTAATAATTTAGCAGACATTTGGTTTTATTTATAAAAATTATATTTAATTCAATTTTTAAGTAGTAATTTTTGTTTAAAACTATTTGATGTCAATTAAATATTTAACTTTCAAACAATGTTAACATTTGCCTAAATAGTCAATATATATTTTATACAAACTAACTCAAATCAAATGTATGATTTCTTTAGCACACCCTTAGGAAGGTTTATGTTATATATTTAACAATAACCCGCTGGAGCCTGCATAACTTATCAAATAAGTGAACAGCTATTAGGTTTATCATACTTACGTCTTAATCTTAGTTGAACAGTCCAAAGCCCATGTCATCATCAGATTCATTATCTGACTCTTCTTTCTTCTCTTCTTTTTTATCAGCTAAAAAAAATTAATAATAAAATGTTTAATATAATAAAGGAAATATAGGTAACAAGAAAAATTTAAAACTAGTAGTAGACAGAAAATATACTTTACCTTTCTTTTCTTCAGCGGCTGCGGGAGCTTCTGCTCCTGCTGGGGCTGCTACAGCAACTCCAGAAGGTACACTGGCTAATTTCGCCTTACCTATACACAAAAGAAAGGAATGAGCCTTAGACAGGTATAAAATAAATTAGTTATTGTAATAAATTGATTAATATGTGCTGCCTAAGAAACATCTTAAATAGTAATAAGTATTTTATTCAAAATAGTTATTATATTAGGTATAATAATTTTTAAAAAATTAGTAAATACAGGAAGAACTATGCAAGTTTAAATAATAAAAACAACTTGAAAAGTACATTATTTTCATTTGATAACAATCCTCAGACAATTACAAGTGTAATATATAAATAATATTATAATAAAAAATATTAAAAACAATATTTACCACTTTCGATAAGCTCATCAACATTTTTTCCTTTAAGTTGTTTTAAAACAATTCCTAGTTTTTCAGAGTCAGATTCTATACCAACAGAGCTTAGAATTTTTTCAACATCTTCACTGGATGGTTCTTTTCCGCTGAAAGCAGCCAAGAGGTATGCGGCCACGTAACGCATTCTAGCACATAAAAAACAAAAACATAAATAATAATAATGTTTAAGGGATCATTTGATTAGATAGTTTACTTCAGATAGTAATAATAAGATAGGGTGAACAATTAAATTGGAATCAATAGATAACTGAATATAAAATGTAATTTATCATACATTCAAATTTTAAAAGTATAGCTAAAATGTACAAATAGATTCTGAAACTCTTAAAGGCTTATTTTGTAAAGCAATGTTTTATGCTGTAAAAGAGTTACATTTTAAATCAATAATATTTACAATTTAAAAATGTAATTAACTAAGAAATCTACGATATTATTTAAAATATAATCAAAATATTCAATAAACAGTTAATATACTTAATACCAAATAAAATATAATATTTATACATTTTATGCTAAAATATATCTGGATAAACAAATACATATAATACATTATTACTCAACATTTGCTCTCAGATAATATTAATCATCAAATAATGTCAGTCGAAAGATGGTATTAGTCTTCATCATTAGCAATTAATAATTTAATTGATGTAAAAATAACAATAGGAGACCCTTACCATTCAGTGGCAATATAAAATAATATGATTAACATTATTATTGTTAATGTACAGATGGGCTTGAAGGCTTATTACTATAAAGCAATGTCCCCGGACATCCGTGTATACTTTTGCAGCAAGTTACCAATTTCTGATCAATATAATATTTAAAGTAAAACATTGTATCAACAAGTCTGCTGGATATAAGATATAATCAAAATATTCTATAGATAAAATACATAGTATGTATATGTAAAATATATTTAAATTTATAAATTTTTTACTAAAATAAATCAGTATAAACTAAATCATATAAAATATAATATTACTAAATAATTGCTGTCAGAAAATATTAATCATCAAATAATATCAGCCGAAAGATGGTATTAGAATTATTCATCATTAGCAACTAAAAGATGAATTAATGTAAAAATAACAGCAAGGGGTGAACTCTTACAATAAACTGCCAATATACATTATTATTGTTAATGTACAGATGGGCTTGAAGGCTTGTTACTATAAAGCAATGTCCCCGGACATCCGTGTATATTTTTGCAGTAAGTTACCAATTCCTGATCAATATAATATTTAAAAAAAACATTGTATCAGTTAAGTCTGCTAGATATATTACTATAATTAAAATAGTAAATAAATAATATTAATATTAGTATGAAAAGTATGTTACTCTTAGTTTATAATAAAATACACAAGACTTTTTAACATATCTAACTATTACTATCAGAAAATATGAATCATCAAATAATATCAGCCGAAAGATGGTATTGGAATTATTCATCATTAACATTATGTAAACAAAAAGACTTATTATAAAATGGCAATAAATTACAACTTATATTGGTAGTGTACAGATGGGCTTGAAGGCTTGTTGCTACAAAGCAATGTCCCCGGACATCCGTTAATGCTTTTGCAGTAAGTTACCAATTTCTGATCAATATAATATATTAAGTAAAATATTGAATCAGATAAGTCTGCCAAACATAAGTTATAACCATAATTTGAAATAACAATAAATTAATGATACATTTTTAGTTTTTAATAAAATAGAAAAACAAATCGTGTATTATTTTACTGTCAGAAAATATTAATAATCAAATAATATCAGTCGAAAGATGGTATTGAAATTATTTATCATTTGATAACAAAAACCAAACATAATAAATTAATGTATAAACAATAGGGATCATTTATAATAAAATGGAAAATGGAAAAATATAAAATGTTAGTGTACAGATGGGCTTGAAGGCTTGTTGCTACAAAGCAATGTCCCCGGACATCCGTTAATGCTTTTGCAGTAAGTTACCAATTTCTGATCAATGTATTTATATAAAAATACCCAAACAGATAAATCTGCCAAATATGTAAATAATTAATTTATTATTATGTTAACCAAATAAAATAAAATCAGAATATATAAATGGCATCAGGTTTCAGACCCGAAAGATGGTTAATAGAAATAATATCATCATATAAAATGGAAGAATTATTTGCATACAAAAAATATATTTATCTCCGCCACACTAAGTTCAGTAAAACAATTATATTCAAACATGTTTTAGAACACGACTCACGGATTTATTAATTTCAGTAAACACAGTAGCATCAAGATTCAGACCCGAAAGATGATTTGTAAATATAATGTGAATCATCATAAAAAAATATTAATCGAACCAAATACTATTATCAGAATATATAAATGGCATCAGGTTTCAGACCCGAAAGATGGTTAATAGAAATAATATCATCATATAAAATGGAAGAATTATTTGCATACAAAAAATAATAAAATGGTCAATTATAAAAATATATTTATCTCCACCACACTAAGTTCAGTAAAACAATTATATTCAAACATGTATTAGAACACGACTCATGGATTTATTAATTTCAGTAAACACAGTAGCATCAAGATTCAGACCCGAAAGATGATTTGTAAATATAATGTGAATCATCATAAAAAAATATTAATCGAACCAAATACTATTATCAGAATATATAAATGGCATCAGGTTTCAGACCCGAAAGATGGTTAATAGAAATAATATCATCATTTAATAGTATTCGGGACTATGTATAAATAAATCAGTAGAAATTATATACTTAATATTGCATTATATAAAACTCATTTAAGCATTAGTGTCATCATCAGTAAATAAAATTTGTAAAATCATAACTTTCAGTCGAAAGATGGTGTTTAAATAATCATCACGTAGACAGATTTATTAAGTCGTTAAGTAACTTTTAGATACTTGATAAATTAGTGACCACTAAGATGTCAAACATTAGAAAGAGTAGTGATATAATATTAGTTATTATTTTATATTTTTAATGTGATTTTTTTTATTTTATTTAATAACATACCGAAAGATGGTTAATAAAAGTAATATCATCATATAAAATGGAAGAATTATTTGCATACAAAAAATAATAAAATGGTCAATTATAAAAATATATTTATCTCCACCACACTAAGTTCAGTAAAACAATTATATTCAAACATGTATTAGAACACGACTCACGGATTTATTAATTTCAGTAAACACAGTAGCATCAAGATTCAGACCCGAAAGATGGTTTGTAAATATAATGTGAATCATCATAAAAAAATATTAATCGAACCAAATACTATTATCAGAATATATAAATGGCATCAGGTTTCAGACCCGAAAGATGGTTAATAGAAATAATATCATCATTTAATAATATTCGGGACTATGTATAAATAAATCAGTAGAAATTATATACTTAATATTGCATTATATAAAATAAAACTCATTTAAGCATTAGTGTCATCATCAGTAAATAAAGTTTGTAAAATCATAACTTTCAGTCGAAAGATGGTGTTTAAATAATCATCACATAGACAGATTTATTAAAAGTCGTTAGGTAACTTTTAGATACTTGATAAATTAGTGAGCACTAAGATGTCAAACATTAGAAAGAGTAGTGATATAATATTAGTTATTATTTTTTATTTTTAATGCGATTTTTTTAATTTTATCTAATAAGATACCTATCAATTAGGTAAAAACGTTAGAATTAATTACGTGAACAAATTAGATAAATTTTATACAGAATACTCTATTCTCACATAAACCACACAATATAATATTATTAATTAATAATCACAAAACTGTTTACCGCTTGCGGTTATGGGAGAAATTATTGGTCAGAGGTGAGCAACGATTCGAAATAGGTTTTAAATTTTTAAAATAAATTGCTGAGTAACAATTTATATTTTCGGTATTATTAAAGCGATTTATCGGACTCGGAACCTCAAAATAAAAGTATTATACACGTGGTACTCGCGTTTGCCGAGAACGGGGGAGAAGATTAATGGACGGGACAAAGATAAAAACGATTGCGTGAATTAAGATCAAACGCGAGTAATATTATTAATCGACAAAAAAAATAAATACTTACTTTTAAGTCTGTTTTGACACGAAACGGGTGCTCGCAAAATTTGCAAAATGGTCGACGACGATAAATGTAGTGAACGAACGTATTCTAAACGACAGAGTGTGTTCGTGTTGTATTACTTGTATATTAGTAATTTGTAGGGAGCAAATCAGCGCTCAGCGGACGATCACAGCGTCAAAAAGATAGGTTATAAAATAAACTCATTGTGGTTTACAAAACTGTGCGTGCGTGGAGTAATCGATTTCATGGAGGAAAGCATTGACATCAAGGAGTACAAAGCGTCATTGATTGCGATTTATCCGAGTTATTTGAGGTTATCAACACTCGTTCTTTCAACAAAAAGTGAGAAGGAGAACAAGTCTTACTTCTCTACGTATTTTTTAACTTTATCGAGTTCTGTTTTCTTTAATTTCCATTTTCGCTAGGGTGAACTTAGGAAAATGAGGTAAGTCAATTGTTTTATACTATAAACGTTTATACTGTTAAACGCGATTCCTTTTATAAAAGTTCGATGATTAGTCTGCTTATTATATCTACATAACAGCGTCAATGACCGTGTTTTTCTAACATGTCACATGTGGACTTCGAAAGTACAGCCGTTCGCATTTTTATTATAGCTATTGAATAACACTCAATAGCTGTTATACGACTTTTAATAATGAATGCATTTAAAAAAATATTTTCCGCGTACCACGAATCTTATTATTTTGAACAAATGTGATGCCTTCTTTTGATATCATGTACAAATTTCTATGGGTTTAATCATGATGGTTAGACCGTCAAACTATTCTTATATGTTGGTGTACATAAGAACTTGATTTGTTTAGTAAATATTTGATATCAAATAAATTGTTTAGATAAGTACTTCATTTTAGTATGTTATAATTTCAACATTATTTTTCAGTTCGTTAAAGCTTCAAAAAAGACTTGCCGCTTCGGTAATGCGATGCGGTAAGAAGAAAGTTTGGTTAGATCCAAATGAAATAAATGAAATTGCCAACACAAACTCCCGTTAGTATTTTTAATCAAAACTGAATCAGCTACATGCTTAATATTTATTTTATTTAATATAGGACAAAATATCCGGAAATTAATTAAGGATGGTTTGATCATAAAAAAACCAGTAGCTGTACACTCTAGAGCTCGTGCCCGTAAAAATGCAGAAGCCAGAAGAAAAGGTCGTCATTGTGGGTTTGGTAAAAGAAAGGGTACAGCTAACGCTCGAACGCCACAAAAAGTATGAATCAATTTGTTTTATTATTATAAACTTCCTAATCTTTTTTTTTATGTTTATAGGAACTTTGGGTAAAACGAATGCGTGTGTTGAGGCGGTTGTTAAAGAAATATCGCCAAGCGAAAAAAATTGACAACCATCTCTACCATCAGTTGTACATGAAGGCGAAGGGTAATGTATTCAAGAACAAGCGTGTATTGATGGAATTTATTCACAAAAAGAAGGCAGAGAAAGCTCGTGCTAAGATGTTGAGGTAGTTATTTATAATTTTATTCATAGGCAAAACTAGTCATTTTCATTAGGTCTGGCCAAAATATATTGAAATTGTTCTCTTCAAAAAAAAAAAAATAAATATATTAGCAACTCCAAATTGATGTATTACTCAATACCATGAATTACAATATACAGGATACGATACAACAGCATGTTGTTGCAATATATTGAAGACAATGATTTATAAAGCACTAAGAGTCTTATTTGAACATACAGGTCATATAGAACTAATAATAAACAATAGCTCTCTGTATCCTGAATATCTTAATTCATACACAATATTCACTTATTATAGTTGTAGAAACTTATACCTACAATTTTACTATGTAGACATTGATTCTATTAATTTTATTCGCTCATCTATGTATTTTTTTTTTTTTATAAAAAGCCAACATCTTTCAGCCTGACTTGTGAATTTATTTACTTAGCTAGTTATTCATATAAATTTATTAATTTTTTTAGTGATCAAGCTGAAGCTAGGCGTCAAAAGGTCAAAGAAGCTAAAAAACGTAAAGAAGCTCGATTTTTGCAAAATAGAAAAGAACTTTTGGCAGCATATGCCCTTGAAGATGAAAAGGCGGCAGCAGCTGCAGGAAAGAAGTAACCTGTTTGTAAATGTTCTTATTTTCTAATATAATTTTGACTTATTGGAAAATTAAAATTTGTTTAATTTTTACCTTTATGTATCCTTAATTATTCTAATATTTAATTCTGATTAAGTATTCTGGTATTCATGTAAATTTATTATTTGGTTGTTTGATTTTATACTTATGTTGGAGTTTATCTAAAAATCAAAAGTACAATTTTAAGATTGATAAATTTGCAAAGGAATTATTTTATTATTACAATCTAAACATTAATCAAAACCTATGATATGAATAAACTTAGGACATATAAGCAGATTGTGCAAAATTAATATATTCTAATTAAACAAACATACAAATAAATCATGCTCTGACTTTGTTTCTAAATCTTAATATTAACCTCATTTGCAGTTCCTACAACATTTTATTTATAAAACAATTTTCTATGAGTTCAAAAATAACTGAATTTATAAAGTATTAAGATACAGTATTTTTTAAAAAAAATTTTATCAAAAAACAATAATAAATTTACATCCATGCATATTAGGTTTTTATATGAAAATTTCTTAAAAATATAATACTAATATTAACATTATAATATCTAATATAATATAAAAATCAATTAAAAGCAAATTTGATTAATTTACCGCTTTTACCAATGCTTGTGGTGGGATAAATAAGTTACAACATGTAATGTGTAGTTAAAATTTAAATTCTAAAAGAAATACACTAATATATATATATATAAACTAAACTAAACAGAATTATTATTACAATAACATGACATACCTATACTTTTAAATATAGTATTTTACAATTTTTTTTACATCTAAAGACGAGTTGAACATAGTTGGGCCTAAATAATCAACAAAATCTTTTTGTGTTCCAATCCGATATGTCATGCTCTAAAGTTGATTTCATTTTTTAAACTAATATTTTTTGAAAAAAGTAGGATGGTAAATTGTACGGAAATTTTATTGGAAGTATGTACCCTAAATATCCCTATAGTTATGCACTGTAGATCTTTGAAGTATGTTTCTATCTAGGGATATTTGTACAATTAAACTGTTATACTTCTAGTGATCTTCATGCATTTGCTGCACAGCCCTATCCATATTAAAAGACACTTATATTACACATTGTGTCTGTTGGTAATTGTTTTTTTTTTTTAATTTTTAAGTTCAAAAATAATAGATCTTAAACACAATTAAACTATCAATATGTAAACGTAAATTACTATCTATGATTAGACTTAGGTATTTCATTTTGTTTACCCTTAATATTTTTTGGCAGCTATAATTATTAGAATTTTTATTAATAAGAGTGAATTTTAATTTCATTTATTAAAAAATAGGTAACTTTATAATGGAAATAGTGATAAAAACAGTTTATTATATTTAAAGACAGCATTCTATTATTTAACTCTATAAAATAGGAAGCAAGTATCATTTGCATAAGTAATAATTAAACCATTCAATTTTATGTTGCATAAATCATTTATATATAGAATGAATAATATATGCCCTAAAACATTTTACCTTGAAGAACACTTTACTTAATTTTTTCTTCTTTATTACCAAGTACACCATTTATTGACCATTTGTTTCCTATTTTAAGTAACTTATAAACCAAAATTTGGTAAAATTTTTATTAAAGTAGAGTGATCAACTATATCAAAGGCTTTTGCTAAGTCTCCAAAAAATTGCAACTTCCTTTTAGTTATTATCAAATTTCTAGTAAATAAATGGAGTTATAAAATAGAGATTTTCTGTAGTATTTTAACCTGGTCAAAACCAAATTAATTCTTAGATAAGTTTATTTTATTCTAAAAAAAGCTACAAGTCTTTTCTTTTTTCATAAAAAAGTTTTTTCAAATGTTTTTGAAAAATTGCTGAGCACGGAAATAGGCCTATAATTGGACACATCTTTAGCACTTCCTGATTTATATAGTGGTTTTACAATAGCTAGCTTAAATTTTTCAACGAAAATACCTTATTTTATACATAAATTTAATATATAAACAAAAGGTTCAACAATAAATTGAGCAACACGTTTCAATAATTTTAGTTATTTTATCAAAACCAGAAGCTGTTTTATGTTTTCATTTATTAATAATATTTAATACTTCTAGATTTTCTATTGGTGTTAGAAACATGCCATTAAAAGAAAATTTACTTGGTGAATTTATGGTGTCCAAGCCATTGTTTTCATTTATTTTTTTTTTTTTTGCTTTGTGATTCATCAATGTTCATAAAATAATTGTTAAGGACATTTGAGATATCAAAGGAATTTTTGTGAATCAAAAATGTTATTGATATATACAATTGTGATTTCTACATAGATCCATTTCCAATAATTTTATGTTATTAAAAATAATATATGATTATGTAACATATGTAGTTTAAGATTCTGAGTAGCGCGAAAAATCTTAATATGGTATTTTAATATTTATTTTTTTTTCTGTGAAAAACTATTTTTCCAGCAATTGTTCTCAGATTTATAATGATAGCACTTTTTCTTAAAATAAATTTGACTGGGAAGGTCATATTTTGATTTTCCAAAGTAATTAGCATAATATATATTTTTGATAAAGCATTATGATCAACTGAACTCCATTCAGAATAGTTTTTTTTTTTTTTTAGCAATGGTTAATCCCTGCTTACATATATACATTAAATTACCTTTAACATTGGCTACACCTGTCCCCATTATCCTAGGACAGCTTTTTTTTTTAAATTATTTTATTGAACTCTATATTAATACTAAAGTGTAAAATTAATAAACACATGGCTTAATGTTGGACATTATGTTATAAATTCTTGGATTTTGCATTTTAAGCTAATTCAATTTTTCATTAAAGTGCTAGGTTTTTATTGACATAATCAATAAAAACGATAGAGAAAGTTTTGCCAGATGTCATATTTAGAAAATAATTAAGAGTACTGATGTTTTACAACAGAATGAATGTTGACTTGTTATTTTGTTTTAAACTAAATATATATTTACCAGTGATAAAGTATTGAAATACAAAATTATTCTTTGGACAGATTTACTTTTTTTAAATATAATATTTAAGAAGAAATATCAAATATGTATTTGAAAAGAATTTATCATAATCTTCAATCATATTTACTCTTACGTTAAATTAAATTTAGAAAAAATTATATTCAATCTCAATTAAAAAGTTGCTTTATTTCAATAAATTAATTATAATACATTAAAAATATGAAATTAGTTCGATAGTGTCAATAGTTTATTAGTTGATTGAATAGAAATTGAATTCAAACAGTATGTTTGTTTTCAACTATCTATACTGAAAAGATAAAGATAAAGGTTAAGAAATGTGTTACTATTATATTTATAGTTAAATTTAAATAGAGTAAAGAGAATATATACAGTCTCTAGTTTTATCCAACCAAATAGTGAAAATAAATAAAAAATTAAGTTTGAAAAATAAGTAAACATGTAAGACATTTTAATATATAAAAAATTATATATATATATAATTATGTAAAATAAAAGAAACATAATATTTCGTAATTATAAATTAGAATGGAGACCAGAACGCATCTTATTTTCAAAGTGAAAATGAATTCTCCACATGAATTCTTCGAAGTATGATTCTAGAAAATTTCTTTTGGTTCCATGGCACTTTTAAATTCCCCATTTATCAGAACTCCACAACCTCTCGATGTTTTGTGTATGAACTGTGTCCGGATTAACAAAATTGTAGGTGTGGTAAACAGTGCTATGTTGGAATGCCACATTTAACCAGTCTTTACTCGCATGGGGCAAATAATGATCCCAACTTATTTTTACTTATCAATTTATCAGTGTTAAAATTATAACTTGTGTTTTTATATATTTCTGTAGCCTCTAATAATAGGTTTATAAATATATTTTCATTGGTTTTGTGTTTATTTGGCTTTCCATTCCCTCATTAGAATGTCATACAATCATTGACATTAAGATTCGCAAATAATTTACCCCATGCATGGATTTTCATGATCAGAAAACACACAAAGGTTTGCACAATATGTGTCAAACTAATATGCCGTGATCACATCATCGAAGTTAGTCCCGATTGCTATGCTACATAAGTAAAATATAATGTGTGAACATTTTTTTTTAAATATTTGAATTTTTTTCTTGATAATTAATACAAATATTCACAAATTTTGTTTTTGTTACTATTGTAATGTTAATTATAATAATTATAATATGTTATGTACTATTATAATGTTATACATGGTTTTAAATCTAAATAAAAGTAATTTTAATTTATTAACTCCCTTAATAAACAAAAGGAATAACACTTAGAAAAAAAATACCCCATGCAAGTAAAGGTGATAAAAAAACATTATATTATATTTGAACATTGTGTCTAAAATTAAAACTTCAATATTTTAAAAATGTTATAGAACAGACACATTGAATTATGTTTAATGTGGACATGTTGGAACGTCACAGTACAATCAACTTAGCTATTTTGAGTAATTTCACTATCAAACTTAATGATGGTAATAGTATAGGTATTTTTTATTTTGTTTTAAAAATTGAATATAGTAATTACATACTATGACACACACTGATAAAACTTATATTTTATGTTACATTAAACGCCTATACCATGTTTCAAAAGAGAACATGGTTCTTAACATGTCTAAGGTTGTGACCGCTGCCACCTAATGGGGATGCACGTTGCCGTACAAAACTGGTCGCGAAAGCAGTATATTCTCTTTTGAAACAGGGTAGTTATTTATGGTTCTTTAAAATAGGTTACAATCTAATCACCACACTAAAAAAATCATAGCTGTTATAAATGTGACTTTTTTTTTACTTATCAACATTTATAAGTCAAACATTTTTTATTCTGTTTTAATAACAGTATCAAAGTAATTTATGTTTTATGTTGATAAATGTCTTATTAGACCTGAATATTATAACTTACAAGTAATAATTAATAGTATAATTTTATTTTTTATAAAAATTGTGTAAAATAGATTAGATAGTAATTTTACCCAACATTCAAACAAATTATAAAAATATTTGTGAACAATAAACATGTACTGTTATAGGTTTTAAATTTATAACAATTCATATTTAATTTTAAATGCATTTAAATCTAGTAAAAAAGTAAAGAGCTATTCCTTGTTTAAACAAACAATAAATACATAATTTATTTAAATAAAATAGAAATATCAAATTTTTTTTCATATTCTCTGTTATTATTATAACAAAATGTATTCAAATGATTTCTGTACAAAAATTTAATTTGTATACAATACTAAATTCATTGTATTACAATAACAAAACTACAATTTTATTACCAATTCTAAAAATAATAAGATTATTTAATTTTAATAGTAAACATTACAAATGTACCGTAATCAACATTTTAAAATGGGACGAAGGAGAAGAAGATCCAAAGAAAAGACCACCTAAGAATTGACTCCTAAGATCTAAATTCAAAAAAAATATTTAACAATATATTATTTATTTATTTTTGGTAACAATACTTTACAACATAATATTTGTTTTAATTGACAGCGAAATAACATACTTACAACTAAAGATTATCTACACTTTGTCACTTTTTTTATTAGTTAATTCTTGATCCAGTCTTTCCTTAGCTCTAAATATTTTTGACTGTAGGTAAAAGGAACCACCTTTTGATTTATCATTTATACTAAATAAATATTCATATCTTTTTTGGACTTCTTCTGGTGTCATATCTAAAAAAAATATTAGTTATTATTATTACCTTAACAAAAAAATATCATATATATATTTGGTTATTTTAAGAATTTAAATACAGAAAATAAATTTTATTCATGATAATCAATCTAGGTATATAATAAAAATGATTAAACTAGCTATGAATACTAAAATTAATAAATAATTGATATACCTATTTGATTATTTGAATCTCGACATTATTTTTTGATCAAAAGTTTCTTATCAGTCATGGTATAAAAATGAAAAATAATTTTGTTTTACTATTAAAACATTTAGAAACATACCAATTTGCTTAACATGATGTAACATGACATGACATAATTTATGGTGTAGATACTTACACAAATAGGTACTTTTATTATATTTATTAAATTAGTCAAATTCATCAAGCCAATGAGGTAATAATTGATTTTATATAATTTACAGTTGTAGGTACAGTATTTGAAAATAGATTAACCAACAGCATACACATTCGAATCGTAATTAAAATTCATAATAGTTACAAAATAAATAAAATATGAACTTAAAATGCCCGATATCAGTTCTTCAAATTTTCTCCAATTTTGAAAAATTATAAAATTAGTTTTAACATTTAAATTTCAAGATGAGATTTTCAAACTGGTCTACTACCTAGTACATATTTAGGAGGAAGAGTTACAGTCGTTTTTACCGACTGCGGGAATAGGGATAACTCATTATTGTCATAATATTTTCGACTGTTATGTTTTTAATTGATAAACATTTTACAGCTCGCATTTTTCATTGGATTTTTAAAATAATGGTATTAAATTGTATTATTATTAATTAGAAATGGTTAAAAATTGACCTTTTCTTTAAGATATATTGGTTCAATGAGAGCTATAGGACGTCTTCATCTTTGCAACGAAAAAATAATCTTCGAAATCGAACCATTCTACGAGGCATGAGTTAATCCCGTAAAGCATGTTAATGAGCCAAAAACGGCGTTGACACCGGGCTCTTAAACCCAAAGGTGTTCTACCAAAACCTGGGAACGGCAAATATAGATCAAGTATATACCTTTGACATTTAATATTTGTTTAGCCTCGTCTAGTGTGATACCGGCCTTGGCATTGGCCGCGGCGTGCGCTGCTCCAACACGTCCTCCACCAGCTCTACGAGCGGCCTCTTGGCTGGCCGCGTATTCCTGTTTGAGAGCTCTGGAGAACGCCTTGCCGACTATCTGTGACCCTATGATTATTATTTGTACGATATATTTGGCCATGGCTTGAACGTCACAATAATAACTGTAATTGTGCGCCGTGCAGTCACCGATCACGTTATCACAGAACACAACGAAAGGGTAGAGGACAATTGTTCGAAAATGATAAGGATAAATAATAATAGTCCGAAGGCGCAGTTTCTATACCTATATTTAAATACTAATAATCTTCACGGTAGGTAAGATTTTATTTTGTGTACAGCGTGTTAATATGCGACCGGGCCGCGTTTCCGCAAACAGTTCTTAACATTTTTTGTGCAAGTGCCATTCGCCGAGAATGATTTAGTGATAAGCGCGAATTTAGATATCTTCATGAATACTGTAGTTGTAAATTTAAAATACATATTTTATATCTGTGTGGATATCTTAAGTCGTGGTGATAAGGTGTAGTATATCCACAGATTATGGAAAAATATACAGTCATTATTTTTAAAAAATATGCATGATTTACTGATGAATAATAAACAATATAAATAAATAGCATTACCACAACTATTTCTATTTTACCAAGGAATTGTCAAACTATTCTAATATTAGCGAATTGTTAATAGGCTACTCCGCCACTCTATATTTTTTTTTATTTTGTAGTTTTTTTAAAATGCGTTTAAAAAGAAGCGATTTATGGTCACATTTCACTGTAATACATGACACTAAATTTGCGATATGTAACATTTGTAAAAGAAAATATTCTTTCAAGACAAGTGTCACCAATTTAAAAACCCACTTCGACAAATCACATAAATATCAAATAGTTGACAAAGTACGTATTTCAAACAATAATAAATTTGTAGTTTGTAAAATTAAATTTGAATATTTAAATTTTCTTAATTCCTATAAATATGTATATCTAATTTGATAAAAAATATCTTTGTGTTAGTTATGTTTCAATATATTGAAACAAAATAAATTGGATATGATGCTCTAACTTTGTATACTGATAAATTAATGTAAATCATATAAATCGATTATCTTTCAAAATAATTTGATTAGCCATTTGTTAGTGCTATATTATGCTACTACTTAAAACCACAATCACTGCCATTGATATTTATATCTTTATAAATATCTATAATAGTGGTTTAATGATTATAATCAATAAAATTTGATTTAATAGTGAGTATATCCATAAAATGTATTTACCTACCTGTACAAACTAACTACAAGATTATAAACAAATTGTATAATTTTTATAATCTAATGTGATGCCACTAAATATAATTTAGAAGATCTAATAATCTACAATTATTTTTTAATGATTTACCTTCAACAAAAAATCAAAATCATAAAAACTGTTTTTCCATAAATCATTCTTTTTTTCTGACTATTTTCCTCAAAAAGATTACCTCAAACAATCAACTTCACAAATTTGTTTTACCAAAAGCTAGTACATTAAAACTACCTAGTCGGAGTTATATTTAATAATTTATCAGTTCAATAGATTAAACATTAAAATATGAAATCACACTAAACACATTTGCAATAATATAAGAAATTCTAAAACTAATGATCTGAAAACCAATAAAAAAATTGTCAATACCAAAATTACAACTGAAATTAGAAAACTTGTCAGATTGGTCAGGTATGGTCTGTTGTTACAATCTTAACCGATAAATGTTAATTGACTGTCAGCTAGTGTACAGTTTATGTAATAGCAATTTTAATGTCAAATTTAAAAAAAAATCTTAATTTATGAAATCAACTATTTGGCTATTGTATAGTTTAACATGTTTAAATTCATACAAATATTGAATTATTAAAATAAATAATGTACATTTCTTAAAATAAAAAATGTTTAAATATACACATACATGCACATATATTTTTAATGTATATTAACATAATTTTAATTTTTCCTTTTAGTATAGTAGTTCTACTTTTGCTATGATTAAAAGCAATCTAGAAGAAGAAAACCAAAGTGATCATAATGGAATTGAAATTGGGACAGCACTAATGTTTCACAATGAGACGGAAAGTACACCAACTGAAGAACACTTTAATTCTCCAAATTTTAGTGTTAGATACGATGAAACTGATTTTAAAAAGACCGAGCCAAAATCGACTTCACAAAAAACAAAAAACAAAAATGAAATACTTAATACGAAGAAGCCTGTTGACAACAGTAAACTAACCTATGATGTTGATGAATTTAATGTGTTTGGGGATGTTGTAGCTCACAAATTACGAGCTCTAAAATCAAGACGTGTACAGTGTATAGTTGAATATAAAATAAATAGTATATTGTATGATGCAGAAATGGGTAAATATGACGAACCACAGCAGACCAGCCTTTGACGGTACATCATACATCTCACTACATTGTATTCAAATACAAACATAAACATTAACATATTCAATGGTTCATTAGTTACTAAACAAAATAATAAATGATAAAATAAAATACATTTATCATAGTACATATAATTTTAAATTGAATTTGTTTTCATTTACTCCATTATTACTTTTGTAATTGAACCTATATTTGCTCTAATAATGTGTATGGTATTTTTATTGGAATATTTACATATTTATATATATTAGGTTTATTTAATTTTAAAAAGTTAGTTATTTATTAAGTTATAATTTACTTGTTTTATATGACAAATGTACTTAATAATATTTTTATATTTATGAAATATATTATTATAATATTATGTGACTAGTAATATATTTTTTTAATTTCTCTATTTACCATGTTTAGATAAAATATGTATATGTATTAAATAAAAATATCCAGATTTTGGAAAGCTTTACATAATAGATAAGTATATATAGATTTCTATTATACAGAGTCCAAAGAACACATATACAAGAATCACAAATGTGATGACTGATTGATGTAAACCAGACTGAAGAAATCGGCATTAATTAAATTTTTATTTATCAACTTTTTTAATTTCAGTTAGTGAATATCAGATAATGTTTCTAATTAGAGAGATAAATAATTTTTCATATTAAGAAAATTGTTGACTGTTATAGACTTGTAAGTTTCAACTCCAATATGTTTAAACTTGCCCCAATGTTGAATGTAATTATCTATTAATTATCTTCCTATCTTTTGCTGTCATTCCAACTATTTAGTTTTCTGCCACCGTCGTAAACTTCCAATTTTTTTTTTTTAAATTAATCATCAGCAGTAAATGATATGTGTTAACATTTTTACTTCACTACTACCATTGTTTATTATAGATAAATTATATAATACAAGAAATGAAATTAAAGAATGTAGGATCCCAGCAACATGCTCTTACAGTTCAGTAATAATATAATATATTATGCAAATATATACATGTTATACATATACTAACTGTCCCATACCCGGTGTTGCCCGTGCCAATTTGTATTATTATTATTTTACCCATATTTTTATTTCTTATATTTTTGGTTTTGGCTGTATCAGAATTGAATGAAAACAAATATGTGGAGAGTGGGCAGTCCACCTTTAGCAGACTTTAACAGACTAAATGTGTTCTATTGTGAAATTTAAATAGTGTAAATAATAGTAATAATAATATAATAGTTTTCTTTTCTGTAACACCAAGGTAAATATTTATATTAATTGGCATAGTTATATATTGACCAATCTTTTAAATTTCATCCGTGTCACCCAGGTAACCCACGAATAAACAAAACTAAATAAATAAACAATTAGATATTTGTATTTATATACTTATAAAACCCTATTTACCCCCTTAGGAGTTGAATTTTCAAAAATCTTTTCTTAGCAGATGCCTACATTGTAATAGCTATCGGTGTGACAAATTTCAGCCCTATCCATCCAATGGGCTAGGCGACAATGAATCGGGACAAATTATTTTATATAACTATATATTAGATTTGTATACAATCGGTCAACGACCCGGATCGGGAATACCATCATCCAGAAGTTTGTAACACTAACCTCGTAAGCACCTAACCTAACCATCGAATTTAGTACCCAGTTCTGAAACTGTCGGTTTTGGGTGGCCGGAATTCGCGGCACCCGCAGGCCTGAAGTCAACTTGGTCGTCGAGCTGCCTTTCGGATAGCTCTTGACTCGTCTTCTTCCTTGCGATAGAGAATTTCCTGCACCATGTGGCAGAAACATTGTGCACCGCACTGGAAAGCGGAGGTGAGCTGCTGATGTATCTCACGGCTCAGCAGGGCCGCAAAGCAGATCTTGAATGTCTCCCGGAGAGATACTCCTACCGCCCACGAATGCTTTCATATCGCTTGGCGAGAGGATTCCTAGTGAGGAAAATGAAAGATAGTGTGCTCGGCGCTGTTCGGTGGGTGGTAGCAGTCAGTGGTGCACAATACATTTTTCACAAGGATGTCGAAAATATAAATATCTAGATATCCACCCTCCCCACCAGTAAATACCTGTATACCTACCTACTTTATTTGATGGAATTTAAATTTTTAGTCTGAGCAGCTCTTGTTATTAAAACTAAATTTATTTATTTTAAATTTAATAATTTAAAAATGGTTAAAATTGTTTTTTCCTAATTTATGTACCTAAACAAATGAAGGTAACTGCAATAACTATCTAGCACGTCTTTATAATAGATAGGTAGGTAGGTACGTTATGCGACGATTATTAAAGCTATGAAAATCTGGTTATGAATGAAATGAAAAAGCATTCAGTTAATACCTACGCGATTCAAAATGCAAAATTGTTAGTAAAAATAAATCCTTGGTAGGTAGGTAACGTTAATACCTATACTATCTGCCAGCTTTTGGACACGACATATTATTGCATGGGCATTGTAATTAATGTTGTTTTACTTCACAAAGGTCAAATGAGGACTCTAAGTGGGTTTTCTGTGGAAAAGTAGACATTGCTTGAGCGAGAAATAATTGCGTTATGTGAAAACAGTGATCATTGGGCGTAGGAAAAAAGGGTATCTATACCCAGTAGCGGGTTTTCAACATTTTTCTGGGAGGGGTCCTGAAAAATCATATGTTTTCAAAAGCCCCCTTTTTTGAACGATATTTTATTGGAATTATATCGATGTCTGGAAAGGGGTCTTATTATTCTATCCTTAACAATCCCATTATCTATTTCACGGTCCATATGGTTCGTTACTAATAGTTTTTAATCAATATCAATTTTTTTTAAACTTGAATTAGGGGTGCTACCAATGAGCGTTTGCCTCGACCCTTTCTTCTTTTCGGACCTTTTCATAACTAATTTATTTGCTTAATGCAATTCAATTAAAATTACAAGTTGTAAATAGGTATATTTGTATACATAAAAAAAAAAAAAAAAAATGTGAATTATTAAGTATCAAATAAATTGAAGTGATTTACGTTTTATTTAAAATAAAAAATAGCAAACTATAATTAGGTAACGTTAATACCTATAATACGAGTATAGGTAAGTACATGCAATACTGAATAGATATTCATCTACATTTTACCTCGAGAGCCTCTCTGGATCGACCTATTAAACAAAAATGATTGTATTTTTTGTTTTTTCACTAAAAATTTAAATTAAGGACCTTTCATGGAAGAAATCAACTTTGAACAACGATGAGTTCATTCATGTTATTTAAATACGACTAATTACAACGACTCTATGTATTTTGGAGTTGGACCACACTGCCCCAGCAAGAATACTATAAATTATAATGTAATAATTATGAAGCATGTTAAAAGTTCACTGTTTTTATCAATATGACAATTTCATTAAATAATTATTGCATTTTGCTCTGATTTTTGAAATAATAATCGAAGATTACTGTTAAAATATTCAATCCAAACCATATCATGTCTGAACAAATTAAATTCGATGTGTCTGAAGGTGCTTACGATAATGACTGTTTGTTGTTAAATGATGATCATTCATTTGTTGAAACTACAGTGAAATGTGACAACACTGAAGTGAGTTTGTCTGTTGAATGGTTATAAAATATCCCATTATGAACTGAAATGTACAATAACTACATAAGTATAAAAATTAAAAATAGGTCGTAGTAACTATATTATTACCTACGCAGTTATTTCGCGTATTTATTTGAAATTATTATTGTTATTATTTTTTTTTATAGGACTATTTGAAAGCGTTAAATGATGTTCGGGATGTAGCCGAAAAACTCGGAATCGAGAATACTCGTCAATATTTAATACCGTATCTTACTCATCTTATTGTCAATGATAAAATAACGCAGTTGAAGGATATAGCCGAAATTCTTGGGGATTTTGAATGTTATGTGGGGGGATCGAAATATGTTCACATTTTGCTGGTCAGTATAAGATACAAATTAGTATTGTGCCTAATGATTTATTTTTTTTTATTAAATAGACACAATTTAGATAGGTATTTAAACTAAAATATTATTATTTATTATTTTATTAATCAGTTTGTTACATTAATATTTAATTTAAATAGATACTTAAAAACGTCTTAAATTTAACATTTTAGTAAATACCTCCATAATACCTATTAAATGTTACCTATTTATTAATTAATTTATTTATAACGTTATTATTTTACATTCCTAGATGCCTACTAAATTAAATATTTATAATATTCTTATTTGAGTAGGCACCTAATTTTAGTAATTTTATCATTATTATTATTATATACCTACTAACCTAGTTGGTAAAACATTTTTACAATCTCATTTCTGCTTTCCAGCATTGAACATTAAAAATATAAAAAATGTTATGTATGAGAGTGGGAAACTAAATTTAATAGAATACCTAATTTTTTTTATATGTATTTAAATTAAACAATTATTTATTAATTAGTTGCCTTTAGAAGAATTAGCTGGTGCCAAACAAAATGATGTACAAATAGCTGCCATTAAATCATTGCAAGCATTGGCCGATATTATGGAAGTATCTGACTTAGAGACTTATTTCATACCTTTGATTGCTAGTATGACAATGAACAATAAATGTGCTAAACGCTGGTCTGTGTGTCGTCTTTTCACTACAGTCTATATGCGTGTCAGTCCAAAACACCAAGGTACAGTGTTTAATATCTTGATACAGTGGTGGATTTATAGATTTTTTTTTTATATTTTACTTTTTAAAATGTGTCAATTTGTTTTTTACAAGTTTGTTAAATTACATTAGATATATACAATATGTAAAATTTTATTGGAAAGAAGAATCATTGTTGAGTTGTATCATTGTTGTAGGAATATGTCAAAGGTAGTTTGAGTAAAGTAATGATAGATTTTTTTTTTTAGTAAACACAACTAGGAATTATTAATGGTTTTATGTTTCTTTCACCAGTTTTTTAGTTTATGTGAGAACTCTCAAACAATTTAAAAATACCTAGCCTTTCAAATAGGGTTAAAAATGTTTTAAATTCACAACTGTGTATGTATAATGAAAAATGTTAATAATTTATATTTATATATTTTATTATAGGTGACATAATCGACTACCATTGCTTTTTGAGTTTTGATTCGTTTTCATCAGTACGCCAAGATGCAGCTAAATGTTTAGTTGATTTATGTGAAGTAGTTAATTTTTCAACATTTGATAGTAAAATAATTCCACGTTTGGAACAATTTAGTTTTGACCAAAATGTAATTTTATAATATTTTCATAGATTTATAAATTAATAATATATAATAATAATATAGGAACACATTAGAACATTAGCCTTAACAACAGCAATATCAATTTCAAACAAATTTGATGTCTCATACATAAAACAAATCATTCTTCCTATGATATTACATTTTATAAATGATATTTCTTGGAAAATACGTTTAATACTTCTTAAAAATATTGCCAAGGTAATTCGATAAAACCTGGTTATTACAACATCATAATTTTAATTATAATATTTCATCAAGGATTGATCATTAAAACATTTTTTTTTTTAATAGTTACTCACCATCGACAGAAGTTGTTTAAATCTTACCGAAATCATACTACAAATACTCATTGTATTAACTAAAGACAAACAATTAGAAGTACGTTTGCAGTCTATCCATATACTTTATGATTGCACAGTTGTTTTATTTCAAAATTTAACTGATTTAAAAGCCATCTTGTTGGTAACTGAATTTTTAATTCCTGCTTTACACAATTTAAGTCAAGACTCTGAGGTTACATGTAAATTGGAGGTGCCTGCTGTTTTGGCTAAGTTTAATAAATTAATACCCGATAAATTGTAAGTTGTTCATGATGTTGTTTATTTAAATTCAATATATTATTTATCAATTATATTCGATAATTTACAAATATATTTCAGAATTAAAGATTATTTTGTGAACTTTGTAAAACAATTACTTAATGATACAAATGTTGATGTAGTATTTAATGTTATTAAATATATGAAAGACATTTTGGGACCACAATATAGTGTAAATATAATATAGTATTGTGTAGTTTATATTAGCTATAGCTATTTAAAATTATAAGATTATGATTATAAACTAGATAATTATTTTTGTGTTTATATTTTAATGTTTAGAACTTGATAGTACTACCTGAATATCGACTAATATGTTGTTTAAAAGCATTCATTGTAAATGATTCTTGGGAAATTCGCAAAATAGGTGCTATTTATTTAGGTATATTAGCAATTCAAAAGGGTATTCAATTTTTTGAAGAATATTTAGAACAATCATTTTTAATACTTTTGACCGATACTAGTAAATATTATTTGTTAATTTCTATATTTTAACTGTTTTAAGGTGTTTATTTAATTTCATTTAACTTGAATTAAAATATAAATATTATTTTCAGAATCGACTGTTCAGGAGACTACTATGGATGTGTTTATATTATTGGTTACAGAATTTGGGATGGATTGGGCTCAAACCTACATTGTGCCCTACCTAATTAATTTGTCTTATTCCACAAATACCTACAACAAGATGGCATTTTTATCATTTGCTAAAGTATGTGCAACAATGATGTGTACTAAATTTAGAGCTCTAAATGTTAATATAAGGGAGAGTGAGGTAAAATAATGATTTGTTGGATACTTTAGAAAAATAGAATTTTATTAATAGATACAACCCATAAAATAGTTCATTGATTGCAAAATTGAGATAAACCTATAGCAAAGTTTTTTAAAAAAAAAAAGGTTGAAATTATATTATTAAAATTATTAGAATTCTTTCAAAATTTGTGATCAATTGATGTTCAACAAGCTATTTTCTCATGCAATCCACCATTACTCAGGTGAAAATCCAAATGTGCACTTTGCTTTGATCAAAACATTAAATATGATAATGACCTCAAGTTTTGAATGAAAATATATCTATAATTGTGATCAAAAAGAAACCTTTTAACAATATTATTCTATAGTCTAGATGAAATAGTAGTGGATAAAATTAAAGCAACATTAAAAATGTTGATCACAGACTCAAATAGTTATATTGCTGAACTAGCAATACATATTATCTGGAATGAATATTTCAGTAAGTAGGTACCAATTTGATCTTCAAATTTATGTTATTTCATTTAAATTTATTACAAAAATAAAATTCTCAGATAGATAATAATATTATGAAAGTTGCTATTTTCAAAAAAGTATCCACAACATCGTTATAACTACTGTAATTCTGTTTTGTTTTTTTCAATAGTTTTTGATTATTTCATTATGTATTTTAATTTTATAAAAATATAATATTGTTCCCATATTGGTTGTTAATTCATTGAACTGAATACAATTTTGTTTGAAATGCAAATGCACATAACAGATACATATCCATTAGTTTAAAACTAAGACATTACATGTCTAGTGTAATAAATTAAATTATTTATAAGTTGTTATCATTCCATTATTTAATAATTTATAGGGCTATAACATCTTACATATGTATTATACATTAAAAAAAAAAAAATAAATAAAATGTTTTATTTTAAAATAATTTTAATAGCAAATATTATTTGGCAATAGATCTATTAAAACTACTAATTGTATTATGAAGTATGTATAATTAATGCTACTACTACGTAATAACCCTGTCAATACAAACGAACTCATTGTTTCTTAAAGTTTTTAAATTTTAAAAACCCTGAAATTTGGTAAATTCAAAATTAATTTTACAAAATACAAAAATTTAATATTAATAAATCAAAAAATACTAAAAGTTTAAAAGCAATATTGTGTAAATAATGGCGGAAGGTAAATAAGGTATATCAATTTTTCTAATATTTGTTTGGTTAGTAGCAAATTTAATTTGTTTTAAATTAAATACTAATGTCGACCATTTCATTTGTATTTTTAAAATACTCTACTTTTTTAAATTTATTCTTCAAATTATTATAATTCCCATATCAGTCTTACACATTTGCTTGGCTTAATACTCGAAAACTGTATGTTAAATTAAACCGTTCATCAGTTTTTAGTTTTTATTATTTTTATTTTTAACTAGCCAATCATATATTTGGGCCTCATTATTTTTAACCCAATGCACATTCAGCTGAATCATTTCCAAACTTTGTTCTAAAGCCCTGGTTCCTGAACCAACATCTATGTTATGGAAGAATTCTGATACTTCTTTGAAGTCATATTCAGTAGCAAAATGAGATGTAACTGCTGTTATCAGGCCTCCCATTGTGAAAGTTCCATTTCCAAAAAGTGATTGTAGATTATTCCAGTTAGCCTTCAGATGACGCCATGCTAGTAGCTGACCTTGAGATCCTTGTGAAGCAACCACGCCTAATACCATTTTTAAATCCTGTGCTTTTACTTTTGTACTGTCCAACGTAGCTAATAAATATCTAAAATTAAAAAAAAAAAAATTTTAAAATATTAGCTTACTATAGAAAAAAATTAAGGCTTATTACCTCTGAAGTAACCAAGGATCATTGGAAGCACCAAGTACTTTCAGAAGTAATTTACGTTCGCTTGGCACACGACTTTCATTATATTTATCCCAACAAAAATTCCATTCTTTGACATCTCCATATCTTATTCCTATAAATAAAATATTTAAAATACCTAATATTCTAACAAAATATCATAAATTAGATAATGTATTACCTGCCAAATAAATAACTTCTCTCAAGTTTGGTGGTACACGTATGTTTTTATTCATCCATTCATCAAATAAGTTTTTTGCTTCTTTTACAACGTCTTCAATTCCACATAATATTGCCGAAGCCAAAATATCAGATCGCATCAATCTAAAAACACCACACATAATATATACTTCATTAAAAATATGAAACATTAAATGTTCTGTTATTGATGTTTTGAATTTACATATTATATTATACTTGTTACAAACATATACCCGTGTATCTATAGATCATTTTATAGTTTTATAAAAATTAATTTTTTTTGTTAATAACCCAAACCTAAACAACAATTACCAGATGATTCATTTATTGTAAAACACTCATTATTTCATAAAGTATTGACTTTTTCCAAAAAAATGTTTTGACAGTTTAAAAAACAAGTAAAATTATAATAAGATTTACATTACCACCATTTTTTGTCACCCTTATTTTTAGGTGTACATAATTTTTAAAATTCCTTAAATAGATAGAAAATTAGTTTAAATACGTTGCAGGGTTGAAATTTTCTATTAATGTATTCATGAGACATTCCACTTCTAAGTTTAGTTAGCGGGAAAGTAGTGGAACACTATTCAAACATTGTACGTTTATGCCACAACACAAATGATACTCCACTACTCTCCCACTACTTAATATTAAAAGTGAAATATCCCGTTAATACATTAATGAAATCAAAATTTTCAACGCCAAAATGTATTTGAACTATAATATTTATGGCATTTTTAATTTGGGTTGTCATTTGAAAATCAAAAGTACGTAGTCGTTTCACCTCTAAAATAAGGTCAAAAAATAATCGCAATTTAACATTTTAAAACTTCTTGTTTCTTATATTGTTAAAAAAAATATTTTCAAAGAAATCAATACTTTTGCGAAATAATAAATGTTGTTCATCAAATGAAATGAACCATCTAGTATAACTATGATAAATATATACTTTTTTAAATGAGTTCCATTGTCTTTCCATCCAACTGACTGTGCAACTGGAACAAGAAGGCTTTTCATATAATCCAAAAAAAGTCTGTAGGGCGAAGATTCTGATAAGAACTTGCTCCAATTTTGAAAATGTGCAAGAGCTGTTGCCCATGGCACAAAATCTCTTTCTTTGCGCAAATATTTAGACAATTCCAAAGGGACAGTAACATTGAGTACTCCTGCTCTACACAAGGTAAACACATCATCAATTAAGGAAGCTCTATCAGCAGCACTGAACACTTCATGATTTAGATTAAGCTGTCCAATTAGTTCATTCCATAATCCATCATCATAATTTACTCGATAAAAACCTGATTGGTTGACATTTGCTTTCAACCACCGCACTTTTGGATCTACTTCAAATCTAACTAAAAAAAAAAAAAAAATTAAACTTCTAAAAATAAAAAAAATAATTATAAATATAAATATACCTAATTTAATTTAAAATAATATCAATATTCATTTATAAATATTATTTAAAATTTTTTTTTTTTATTAAACATTAAATGTATAATGGACATATATATATAGGTACTTTAATTAAGTATAATACTATAAATATTAAATGCTAACCATCAGTCATGTTCATCCAGACCACTTCTTGTTCACGGTAAGAGGTAATGTCTGTATAAAAGCTCAATGGAACAAACCATTTATAATCGTATGGAGATGGTTCCGCTCTATTTTTTATTGTGTTAGCGATTTCTGAAGTCAATAGAAATCTACTTTGCATTGCTGTGAACGAAACTACATTACTTGAAGATGAACTATTTTCTCGGCTTATTTTAATCATTGGAAAACCCATTTGACGGGTCCAAGTATCCATAATGGCCTAAACAAAATAATTGTTAAAACTAAAACATAAATCTAGTCATATTTGTAATAATATATTTACTTTGACTTGTACTGTTTCGTTTGCGTGTTTGCTCAGCACACTCCATAGATCCTTGGTGTCTGCATTACCGTATTTATGGGTGTTCAAATAATCATTTAATCCGCTTCGTAGCGTTTCCAAACCAAGGAATTTTTCTAACATGTACAAAATCGCTGCTCCCTTTGAAAACATTTTTTACAAAGTTAAAACTATTGTTCTTAACATTTTAATTAGTCATATTTATACTTTGCTGTAAGATATCGAGTCAAATATAGCTTCGATTTCTACTGGATCATGAACGCTAACGCTAATAGGATGTGAGGTGGACAACGCATCGAGTCTCAAACCTTGCTGAGTTTTATCTAACACAAACTGGGCCATCATCGACCACCCAGGCATCACATGCTCTACACCACGGTATTCTAAAAAACTCGCAAATCCTTCGTTCAACCACAAGTCGTTCCACCAACGCATTGTCACCAAGTTTCCAAACCATTGGTGGGCCAGTTCATGTGCTACTACCACCGCCACCCATTGGTGTGCAAAAGCCGACGTTTCGTTTTGGTCGTAAAGTATTGAAGTCTCCCTGTACGTAATCAGACCCCAATTTTCCATTGCTCCGGCACTAAAATCCGGTATAGCGATCAAATCTATAAACACACACATTTAATATTATAATAATCGTATAATAGGTAACTATTATGAATTACACATTAGTGATTAGTGGCTAGATATCTATAACCTTGTTTTGGTAGTGGATACGGTACTCCGAAGAATTCTGTATAATGATCCATGATTTTGGTGGCGGTGTTCAAAGCAAACGATGTCTGAGACAATAATTCGGGTGGCGCATATACTCGCACCGCGACTCCATTTTTGGTTTGGGCGTGTTGGAATTCGTAATCGCAAACGACAAAAGCTACAAGGTATGTACTCATCTCTACGGACTCTTCGAAGTCATCCCGCATCTAAAATCATCAAATAATCAATTATTAGGTGTATTATTGAGTCGACCATGATACATAATAATAGTAATACTCTTACCAATCCGACCCCCATGTACAGTCCGTCGTCCACGGACTCTTTGACCGGCATATTGAACAACGCTATGTGAAATCTGTTCCTCAAAATCGACATTTTAAATCTAGCTTTGAATTGAGGTTCGTCAAAGCACGGAAACGCCGAACGCGCATATGTCGGTTCGAAATGGGTCGTAGCCAAATATCTAAAATATTTATAAAATATATTTTAAGTTCCTACATGATGGTCATAGACATTGGACATGTATACAGGATTGGGCAGTATCTTCGATACAAGTATTTTAAATACATATCTTGGATCCAATTGTATCTTGTACCGCGATACAGTTCTGGGAAGTACCGAGTTCCTATCTTGTATTGCGATACTGAAATCAATGTATCTAGTGTTGAGTATCTAGATACTTAATTTGAAGTATTTTGCTCATAGGCTTCCGCAAGCCGAGTCATTTTCCATCATGGCTTTTCGAAAAAAAAAAACAACATTAATAACCGAAAATGATTCTACGGAAATGAACGGAACCGTTGAAAATTATGAAAAATGGTTCAAAAAAATAACTACTAAATCTTTTAAGATGCGTGAAAAATGTAATTTGAATGCATCGCGACTATCGAGTAGGTATTTAGTATTCAAATAGGTACATACAATGAATATATATATGTATCATGTATTTCAATACATTTGTCACATAAGTATTTACAGTATCTTGTATTTAGATTCTAAAATTCAATGTAGGTATATAGTATCGAGTATCTATAGGTATTCTTTTTGAAGTATTTTGCCCATCCCTGCATGTGTAATACCCGCAAGTCTTGTATTCAACTTCGCTCACCTGCGTTCGCCTTTACTGGTCGTATAACTGCTCAAGTAAAAACCTTCCAATTCTCGGCTTAACCGAGTCGTGTATTTTATTATTAACGTATAATTCTCTTTTGCGGACAATACTTCTTCGAATTCTAATAGTATCTGTTGGCCGGCCGAATATTCCAACATTCTGGATACTTTGTAAAATTTGTCCAGATTTTCTGCATTTACCAAACGCTGTTTGACATTTAAATTATTAAACAATTTGTAATAAAGATGGCGTGATGACATTCGGTACGTTATTTTATTCGTTTCCGCGAACACTCACTTTTTCGAATATGGTTAGATTTTTACTATGGAAGACTATGTAATTCGAGTCCCGGGTGAGTGTGAAATTGATTAACACTTGACCTATAAAATCGAAACGCCTATATTAATAACGGCGCAGCAGGTAATATTATATTATACCATATAGGTGAATCTATTGTATAAACGACGATATTTACCTTTTACATCCAAGCTGGTTAGATTCGGATGTATTCTTATGTGGTAACTATAAGGCCTGGCGAAAGTTGGTAGACGCACGTTGTTCCACGGAAATATTTCGCCGTTCGTGGCGATCGGTGTAATTGATCGAGATCTGTTAACACCGTCGTCGTCGGGTAAAAATATCGGTTTTTCGCCGATGCACGGACAATCTAAATATTACGGTCAAACGCGTTTACTATCTTGATATTGTTAGATCAGGTTAGGTTAGTAAATTAGCTTATACGAATAGGTAAGAAACAAATGTAAAACACCAGCGGGATGAAAATGTCTTGGGTAAATGTACCTATATCGTTTTTCTTTATAGATTCTGAACGTGTTTATAGTTGCTTTTTGTTAGTTACAATTATGTCAACGCGCAAATATAATATGATCAGTCCAAACGTTTTATAGACCATTTTTAACTCGTCCAATTTATTATTTTATACATAGACAAATGATTACTTGAAATACAATACAACTGCATCTAATAATTTAACACAACACGTTCAAACATACGTTTAATAAATGGGTATTAATAAAGACGTTCTCACTTTATTGAGTTGGGCTAAAAGTTGTGCTGCGGGTTACACGCGAGTGTAATTTTTCATTGAAATACTAGCTACCAGTGGCGGCGTGAAATTTTTTTTCCCAATTAAAAAGTTTCAGTAAAATTACGAAAAACCTCGCACAACATAAGTCCAGCAGAATTAGGGGTTGTAAACCGGGGCTATATAATGGAGTACTTATCATGTTCCAGTACTTTACCTTTTTCGTTAACATATCTTATGAGCTATAATACATTGTCACATATACACCTATCCATCTAATTTATTCACGAAGCAGCTGCTTCATAAGATAACCGTTTACGCCGCCACTTCTATCTACTATATAGGTATAGGTTAGTGTACTTATACAAACGACAATGTTCATCTGCATATAATATTCGTTTATTCTAAAGTTTAACTAGTTGTATTTTATCTACGTAGGTAGGTACCTAATCTAATTATATTGAACAATATGTTATTGATTAAATAAAACTTTTTAATACCGTGATATTTCACTTAGGTATTTACCTATATGGCTTTACCTATAAGTAGTTGAATTAATACAAACAGTAGTACTGAAGTAGATTTACCTACAAGAACTATTATTAAGAAGTGTTTGTTTTTACATTAGCGTCTATATTAGTTTAGGTTTTAACAATATTGCAAAATATTATTTTAGATTTTGAACGGAGCGAGGAATGTATTGATTTTACAATGATGTTTATTTTAAATTATTTTTGTTATCTGTGAACAACTTTTCTACCAGATTTTCAATTATAGCACTTTTTCTGAAAGGAAATCTGACAGGGGTGGTACTATAGAAAGGTAATTTTTTTCGGGGTTTTTATAATAAATGGGGAAAAAAAGTAACGGGAATATGTACGAAATTAATTATTTTAAAATCGTAAATATTACGGTCTTTTGAACATACAGGGTGATTTTTCTTATCATGAACCAGCAATTATCTCAGATGATTTTGAGTGAATTTGATTTATGTTTTTTCTAATTATTATGGAATCATTGAAGATTTATTTTAAAACCATTTTTAATTTTTTACCCTACTTCAAATACCTTAAATAAGTAGATACTTTTTATTTTCAAATGGGACCCCCCCTTTTTCAACATATATTTGAATAGAAAATATTTTTCTAGACATTTTCATATGCATAACATTAATATCGGATTTACCGTTTATGAGTTATAACAATTTAAAGTTTAGACCGGAGGAGTAGGAAAGGGTTATAGATTAAACGATTCCATAATGATTAGAAAAAACAGAAACAAAAATTCACTAAAAAAACTCCCGAGATAATTGCTGGTTCATGATTAGAAAATCACCCTGTATATAACCGAACCCCACCCGGAATAGCATTTGTTAGCAATGATTAATCATTACGCGCACACATAAATTAAATTCGTCCTCTATATCCTATACCTTCCCAAATTCTCACCTACAACAGTGGCCCACCTAACGTGCGAAGTATATATAGTATGTTAGTATTGGATATTTTCAGCGTATAAATTTAACTTTTCAAAAATTTCTACGGGTATATCAATATTGTATTCGAATTGGAACGTATTATATTATTTATGAAAAACCAATTAGGAATTTATATACCTCCGTATATATTAAGTACTTATAAACTCGCTTATGAAAAGACAAGTAGCACAGATATGCAACGATTATTATTTTTAAGTGATAGTTTTTCAATGCAGAACAGTTTATATTGTTATTTTTGTACTTGCCACGGCAGCCAATTAGTGGGACTGGAGCGAGCTCTGCCAAAGACCCGTCGACAAATAATAATTGACGAGTCCAGTGCAACAACCAGCTATGTTCACTTTTGACAAATTTTCAGGAGAGAAAAAAAATTGTTTTAAATCATCAATATTTAGCATACACTAAGAAAATATGTAGCATTCCTCTATATTTATTCAAATTACGTATTACAATTACAGTTCTAATAACACAGAGAATACTATGGACATAAAATAGTATACAATTACGGACTTACTTTGTTTCTTGCTCATAATTTTTAATTTTTTTTTTCAGTTAAAGAAAAATTTAAGTCAAATCGGTGCAAAAACATGGTATGTCCGGACATGCATGGTTTTTGCACTGAAATTTAAAAACCAGGCAAGTGCATTTTGCTAATAACACCGTATCTAATAATCGGACATGACTGTTCGTTATACCGAAATGTGCGGCATGTTTTCCTTATTCTAGAAACCACAATACAACGTTTTTTCGAAAATTTGGACATAGCCGGTTGTTGCACTGGACGTCTGGGCCTTTCAATTATTAAGTGATGTTCCGCGGAATATAATATTATATAGGATAGGCAGTAAGCACCTGTATACAACAGGCAAGTTCGGAGCATAATATATATTATTATGGGTAACTTACCTAAGCAATGACTTAATGCATAATGACGATGTGTACAGAAATGACAAAAATAAAACAAACGAACACTTGTTGCGACACGCAACAACGATATTAAATTGCTATTATTTTTTTTAACCGGGCGTATAGATATAACCGTACCTATAACCGTAATTTATACGCCGTGTGCATGTCTACTGTAAATGTATATAATAAATATTACACAAGTACCATACATAATAGCTATCCTACACCTATATACATATAGATTGTTGTTGTTTCGGTGACTTAATGACCGCGATACAATAAATTAAATCAAATTTCGAGAAGGGGTGTAGGGTCGAGAAAAAAGGCTTATCGGTTGTATTAAGTGTGAGCGGATTTCTTGAAAAAAAAAATAAATAAATAAATAAAAAAAAATAATAATAATCACAATAAACACCCCCCGATTAAGTAATAATAAGTAGGTAGTTGTGTTATACACACCTACGGGATAATCGCGTGAGAAACGATCGTATTCGAGCGAACGTAATACACAATTTAATACAGGTAATATAATACGACGTGGGTGGGTATAATGTATTACCTATCTGTTTTTTTTACTGGATACCGCGATCGCACAGGTTACTGTTATTAATTTATAACGATATTATTGTACGTACTTGGGTTTAAGGGTTGTAAACATTAGCGATAAAATGGCATAGCCGGGAGGAGAGTTTCGGATATTGTACCCCCCCCCCCCTCGTCCCTCCTTATCGTTTATTCATAGCTGTAGTTAAGGCCAAAAAGGTTGTAGATCCCTAAAATCTCCCGTTGATAAATCATGGCCACGCCACTGGACATAGACATACTAACCGTTTTGAGGTCCGGCGTAGGCGATGACAACCGAACACAAAAACATCAGGAACAGAGTGGCGCCGGCCACTATCAAAGCGGTCCTCCGGGAACACGCCGTGACGGCCGTGTGCTCGTAAATCCCCGACTTGTGTATCATGTCTTGATTGTCTCCTGGTAAAAGAAAACGACTTAAGTTTCATGCGGCGTAGGTATCTGTAAGAATCGACCGAAAATCCAAAGTCTCTCTTTACGCTGCATCGTTAATTATACTATAGCCAGTGGCGCACAGTACGTTTTTCACAAGGGTATCGAAATTATAAATATCTATAGGTATCCACCCACCCCACTAGTCAAATATGAGTTTAGGCATAATAAAACTCAATTACAAATTAATGCTAAACAAATAATATACATAGAAATAACATCTAAACTCATCTGGCACCGGGCACTCACCAAATTTCTGAGGGGTGTCAGTTGACATCCCAGATCCCCCCGGTATGCGCCACTGACATACTGTTGTTATAACGCGCGCGCACAGTTTCCCGCGCGATAGGTATTATTAGGGCGTGATGTGCGCCCGGACTCGAAGGTTAGACCTGCAGAAAATCGACTACGGAGCTGTGCAAAAAGTCTCCGTAGAGTGTGTTCAATACCTGCAATAGTTTTGAACCAGTCCGGCAGTTTTTAATAAATAAATTAGTCAAATACCCATAAAATAAAGTCACGCGGCCATATCATATATTATAATCAAAGCTAAAGTGCGTCACCCGCACGCCTATATTTAATGTTAAATTAATTTATGTAAAAATAAATTCCTAGGATACGGCACGCCGGACCACAGCTAGGACACGGATAGCGGCACAACGAGGGGACGGCCTGATCATAGGTGTTAAACGCCGCCGCCCGGAGCAACATCCAGTCCATCGTGTTTTATAATCTTGAAATTTTTGTGTGATTTTGCGAGAATAGTATTGTTGAGTTCAATATCGACGTTTAAATCGGGACTATACCGTACAGACTCTGCCTCGTACCAATGGTCTGAAACGTGAAGTTACACGGCGAAAACCCGCGGCATCACCGTCTTCATTGTTTTTAATTTTTGCAAACGATATTTTCAACCAGAAATATTGTTCTAATCGAAAAATGACACGAGATCGAGTTTACCGAGTAAGAGACTCGTTGTTTGATTTTCCATATAGTTTTCCTAATAGTTACGAAAAACCGTGAAAAACGTATAAAATATACGGTATTTGGAATTTTTTTAATGTTATTTAGTTAAACATGATTGTATTGTTCTATTGTAAAAATGGTAGAATTTTCAAAATATTCTAGCTATTTTTAGGTTGTTTATTTATTTATTATATAATAAAAGGGTAAAAACCTTTTTGTGAATACAGCAAGATTGAATGAACTCATGCTTAAGGTTAAAATTTCGTATATATAGTTTAAGTAATTAAACAAAATTATAAAAATAGTTAATGAACTTAGACATCATTTTTAAAGTAAATACAGATTAGCTTAATAATATAGTAACAATGATAGGTAATTGTTATTAAAATTATATGAATTAAGAGAAATGCTTGAAAATTTGACACCAAATACATTTTATGTTGTACTTAGGGTTCTAAAAAACATATTTGAGTTTAATGCATTAGTTTATTTTTCAGAAGCATTTTAAGATCAATTTGATGAAAATTGTAAAAATTACAGCATTTCAAATTATGTCTTATCGAATTTCGCTCCGAATCATTTTTCTTTAGCAATGGTTTATAGTTGCGTACAGATATAAATGACACAACTTTATAAATTCTACCTTTCCAACTTCCCCCCTATATCAGTGGTTGCAATCATCTCCAGTAACAGCTCCTTTTTTTTCCTCCGCGTATTTAACAGATTTTTTCATTTTTTTCCGCTTTTTTAACTCTGACAGACTGTTTTTAAAAATGTCTCAACTTCACCGTAATTTATTCAATGCAAATCTTATGTACAGAAATTTTCCAGCTATTAAAATTTATAATTTTCAATTGCATCTGTGCACGGTTCTAGTGTACATAAATTATTTAATTCAAACAAAACATGATAATCATAATAGTAAATAATTCACTTTATATCAAGTTACAGTTTTAATTTTAAATTTTTAAACAATTTGTGACTATTATTTAATCACTTAATTCCATATCAGAAAAATCTCCTATATAATTTTCTGGTAAATATCTAATCGAAGAGATATAGGTAAAATTGGATGAGACTAGAAGCATATTGAGCATAATGCATCTTGTGAGGGGAAATTCAAATTTGTTATCAAGCCATTCAAAATGAAAGTCAAGAAATCAATTTATATAACAACATGATTTCGAACATTTTTTGAGGATGCCTGGGTAAAATTTAGTAATTTACTTTCTAATAATTTAATACAAGTATCATTCCACTTCAAACCAATACATTTTTCTTTTATATAGCAAAATATAAATTATACAACTAAGGGATGTAATTGATGCTAAATACTTGTTCTGCCGTATAAATTTAAATAATTCTCGGTTCAAAACACAAATATTCTTTTTGTATGTAAAATTTCGAACTTTAAACAAAAAAAAAATATACATTTCGGATGATCCATTTAAGTGAGTACACTTATTATCTTAGAGAGTATTAACTTTTTTCGGAATTTGTTTTCTAGAGAATGTTTAAGAAACAACTAGCTCTACAATTTTATGTTTATGTTATTTTTATTAACCCTTAATTTTGAAGGTTAAACTTAGTTGTTTTAAATTGTTTTAAATAACCAAAAAATGGTTTAGGTTAAACCACTAAATACTTTTAATTTTTAAATAGCACCTATATTAAAAATTCCATAAATATATGGAGTATTAGTTAAAACAAATTTGAATGTTGAAATTATTTTCTTCAAGCCGTTGACGAGGTATTCTATTTTTTAGGTTCCATTTTAGGTTGTAAGAGAGTTGTAGTGGTACATTAATAACACGCCGAGCGCCGTATCGCCACACAAATGACACTTCATTACTCTTCTCCAACCCAAAATTAAGAGTGGAATATCTCGTCAACGAATCAACGAAAATCAAAAATGTCAACACTTAAATTTATTTTAACAAATACTCCGTCTATTTATGGACTTTTTAATATAGGTTGCCATTTGAAAATCAAAAGTAGGTAGTGGTTTTACCCCAAAAAATAACATAAATATAAAACTGTAGAGCAGCTTATTTTTTCTTTTTATTCTTTCTTTATCTTATTTTATCTTCTAGAAAACAAATTCCAGAAAAAGATAATATTTTCAGAGATTATGAGTGTACACATCTAAATGGATCACCACCTGATAAACATGAATGATATGTGGATATATTATGTATAAATTATATGTATTACAGATATAGGTACTGTTTAGTTTGAAAATTAATTTGCTACAGTAAAATAAATGTTTAAATAAAACTTACTCTCGGATGAGTTATCTATGTTTGATAGATACATAGATACTATGGTATAAGATGTATAGGCTAATTAATTGAAATACCTACACAATTTATAAAATAATAATATTTAACACACAAGGGCTAAGAAAAATATAATTCTGAACACTTGTAAACAATGTAGATTTATAACGTTAAGCCAAGGGCAAACTTTAACCAAAAATTAATGAAAATAGCAAAATTAATTTTTCATAAAAAAAAATACTAGGTTCTATATATGATAAATAAATAATTACAAAAATCATAACTTTGAATAGCTGGACATTTTTTTTAAACAGTATATGTATTCAATATTGTGATAAAATTGTGCAAGGCTTAGAAACGGTCTGTCAAAGTTAACAAAAAAAAAAAAAGTAAAAAAATAAATAAAAAATACACGGAGGGAGGGGGAATGGAAAAAACGTTTAACTATGTTTGTTACTTATTTCAAGGTATCCGGGTACTTAAACTTCAAATCAACCGTATTGGATGTTACATGAAAAAAAAAAAAAATATTCATGAAGACTAATGAAACTTTTGATAAAATAACGATTTTAACATAAAAGAAACGTGCCTATGTAAACCGTCGCGATTCGAGTAAATGTGCAAACATGAATTTCCGTGCCTACCTATTAATAAGATTCCTCGGGGTGTGTACTTAAGCGTTTTAATTGAAAACCATATTAAAAATTTAAATTTCAATCGGTGGAGGGGTTTCGCCGTACAAACGCACGTTTCAGACCGCCACTGTGCGTCGGCACTTTACACACTGCTGCAGTACCTACGAGCAGTGGCGTAGCGTAAGAGGGGGGGGGGTAAATGGTGTTTCGTTGTTCAGACACCCCGCTTTGACGATATTTACGTCAAACATTTTTACTACGCGCGTAGTTGTACGCGTCAGATTTCTACGAGATGTGTTAGGTACGCGTGGATAGTTATTGAGTACCCGGGTACCTATGTGCTACACGCGCACAAAAAAGTCTCAAAGTCGCATACAAACGCAAAATAAACCCCCTCTCCTCGCCCCCCCCCTCATAGAGAAAAAGTCCCGACTACGCCACTGATTGCGTTGCGTACGTGCGCGACATAACATTGTGTACGGGTACACAATAACACGAAAGTGCAACCTAGGCGTTATATTTATTACATTACGTTTAACGCGGGCGCACTTACTGTAGTGATTGATGGCCGTGAGAAAAGCCACGTCTTCGACTTCCGGTTCCACCATGGCTGTGTCCGTTCCGCGACCGACGCTGGCGCACCGTGTCCGAGGTCCCGTCGGGTTTCTGTTCGTTTACCGTCCGGAAAGCCGTCCGCAGAGCTGAGAAGACGCCGCCGATGTGCACTGCCGCAAATGGCATTATCCTATTGACGTTTTTAACCCCTCCCGGCGCACATGCGCCCGGGGCCGGTCACCCTCGCGAACGCCACCCTCCGAACGACGAGGGTCGTCGACGGGCGAGGGAGATGATGATCGGGACGGCATCCGCCGCACGCGCCACCAACATCACCGTCGAATCGAGTTCACTGTGCCCACATAATACCGGGCTGTAGTGTTTTATCGACGGAAAAATAATAACAAAAAAAAAAAAAATTAAATCGACATTTTTCTCGCTACAATATAATATTATTATGTTTTTCACTTTTGTTTCCCACAGGATTCCGTTTGTGCGTTTTAAATTTACCATCGTCTGTCTGCAATTAATGAAACGCACGTTTTCATTATCCAGTTAACGCATTTATAATAAATAATTACGACGTCAATAGAACATTATTATTCGTGGTTTTTAGCCAAAAATAAGCGTGTGGAAAATGAAAACAATGAGATGTTTATGAAAAAAAAAAATTTGAATTAGTGTAATTCGTTAATTTGCAATACTCGAATATCCGTCACGAAAATAACCCACACTGAACACCACTCAAACCAGCGGCGAAACCAAGGAAAGGTGGCACAGAGGCGCGTGTCCCCCTGTCAATGGAATGCAAACAAATTTTGAAATTGTTATTTTTTTTTTAAAATGTACACATATTGTATATATGATTTTAAAAACTAATTAAATACCTAAATAGTGGTCATAGCCGGTGTCATTGTATGTAGATTTAAATAAAGATATAGCTGTCAAAAGATTAACCCAAAAGAGGTATATTGGAAATATTCGCGAAGACATAAAAAAAAAAACTTCAATTACATCTGTAATTATTAGGTATTAATTTAATATATAATTTATAATTAGTTTACTGAAAATAAAAATAATGAGCCCCCTTTTGAACAATTTCTGGATTCGCTACTGCACCCAATTGAATAAATGTGCTTTAAAAATGATGAAATTAATTATCTTCTATTTAATGTAAAACAGTGATCGTAGTAAATAAACTTCACATAAATTAAAAAATAAAGTACATAATATTTAACCAAATTGTATCATTTTCATAATATTTTAAAAGACAATATACTTATTTATCTCGTTTAATTACAAAAAAATATTATAAAACTGTATGAAAATATATTTTTGAATTAGCTAATTGAATTGAAATTATAACTGCAGATATTCATTTAACATATAATAGTAATAGGCGATTAAAAATACACAAACCTTATTCTTAATTTACAAATTATTAATTTTTCTACACACAATATTTTCCTAAATATATCAATAGTTTTTTCTTAATATTAAAAATAATATTATAAACATGATTAGTTGTATAAAGAAATAAAAATTCATAAGTAGACGTACAAAATATCTTAACATTAAGATATATACATAATACATGTTACAAAATATATATATATTATATAGGTACACTGTGCATTAACGATAAAGGTAACACCTAGTTTTTATAAAGATTCTTTAAATTCACTTTTATTTATAGCGATAAACTAAATATAGAATAAGGTGTCTTATAATAAAACTTATTTTAATAGAATTTTGATGTTTTCTGTCAAAATTGTCTGTTATAACCCTGTATATTATCCTTTACTTTTAACCACTTTATTTTTGATAGATCAATCAAACATTACTCTCAACTAACTTAATTAAATAATTTGAATAAATCATATTTGTTAATAGTGTTAAAACTATTTAAGATTTGATCAACTTAATGCGATTTTATACACAATATTTCCATTTAACTTATTAACATTTAATGTCCATGACCTATTTGCATGTTGTACAATTTTTATTAATTTACAAATGTGCAGAGAAATAGCTAACATTATGAAATTTATTTTATTTAATTTCAAACAAAAATAACAACCTTAGTTTAACTTGAAGATTATCTTAAACAAATATTTTGTTATCTTTATCGTTGCACACTTTAATAATAATAATCTCCTTATTTTTATGTTTAGTATTTGAAAGAAAATTTGGCGGTGGTCTATGGTATGATATTCTAGTAAAAAATAATCTTCTGATGAAAGGTACTTAAGACTTACATAATTATTAAAACTACAGTACTCGAGATCAATGCCGATGGGTATTTAGGTGATCATGGAGACAAACCTAAAAGGAGATTTTATTATTGTTGAAAAAAGAGGCAAAGGAACATTAGCCTATCATTTAAAGAGAGGTTGAAATAGAATCAACCATATTCAGTGATCAGTAGTGAATATACAGGTTATTGAAAAATAATCACAAATCGAGGCAGTAAAGTATAACAAAAACTCCGTGGGTTGAAGAAATGTTATCCTCACACTGTAAATCACTACCAAAACTATGTTAGTAATTGTTCAAGTTGCCTTGAAAAATTATCCGCAGTGGTTTTATACGTCAATTAATTAATATTTTTAGATAAAATAAAAATAAACAGTCATTTTGATATCATCATGAAATACTACATGTAGACATTTGTTTCGGCCCAATTGGATCAGATTTGTCTTCAGTTTCCATTAATACTGTATGGAATATATCATCAACACACTAAAATTTACAAATACAAATGTAATATTAGGTTAGTTATCCTAAACATGACTTTATTTTGTTTTGATATATACTTACCAACAAAATTGAATGATTAGTAGAAAATTGTATAGAAAACAACACAATGTAGATATTATACTAATATAATAAGGAGGAATAGGAAATATAAAATTAATAATTATATGAAGCAGATAAGAAGGAAGTTAATTAAGTTCAAACTATTTTTAATATTACCTCATTCTGCTTTGCTGAAGCTTCAAAAAATTTAGCTTTCCACGAATTGGCTAATGCTTGGCCTTTATCCTTTGAGACACAACGGTCACTGTGCAAATCTTTTTTATTTCCAACCAAAACTACAGGAACACTATAATGTCATAAGACAGTTAAGACAAGTAGGTATATTAACTAATTGATAAAGAAGTTTCTTACTGTATTTTGCCAGTCATGTCCAATAGTTTATCATGAATAATTTGTATGATTTCAAACGATTTTGTTGATGTAATGCTATACACCAATACATATCCATGAATTTTAATATAATTTGGTTCGGATAATATAGAATATTCATCTTGTCCAGCTGTATCGACCAATTCCAATTCATATTCTTGGTTTTTTACTCTTGTGGTTTTCACAAAAGCTATAAAAACAGATTATTTTAATGTCTTGTAATAATATAACATGTGACATTACATTTAATGGTGCACCTATTCATTATAATTAGGTCCTACTATTTAATGTTACTGAATGACTTACTATTTTCAATTGTCGGATCATAGGAATCAACAAATTGACCTTCAACAAACTGGATGCTCAAGGAAGATTTACCTGAAGAAAAACAAAATTTGAATCGTAATACAAATTATAATTAATGCAAATCCGAAATTTATTATATTTTTTCAAAATATAATTAATTGCTAAAGATATTTAATTACACTTTAACATACCAACAGAACGGTAACCCATAATAGCGATTTTTCTTTGTTTGCTTGGCATTTTAATGTATAAATATTAAATAATTTTATTGATGTTTAATGAATATGTAGAATATTCCCATTCATGTTGTTTAAGAAAATAAGAATAACATTAAATGCGTAATACAATTTTTTTTTAAATCGATTATTCAAGATTTTTGAGTGTTAACACAACAACACAATCTTAAAGATGAGAAGATTTTCGTCGATTTTACCAAGCACATTGGAGTTATTTCATGGAAACAAAACCAACGTAAATAAAGTTATTTGTTTATCTTTTTTGAAATTTATTGCGCGGATTTAATTTTTACTTCGGTGTATTTGTGAAATGAACTACAGAACTAAATTTCTAAGGTATTTTGATTCCTTAGTCAAATATTATTATATTTTTAATTACTCCATCATAGTATATTACATGCAATTTGTCACATATTCTTCTTTTTCGTCTTTATCTCAACTATTTGGTGTCGGCCAGCCTCGTTCTAAACATGACAAAATAATAATTTATTTTGTCATGGTCCTAAACTTCCACTTGACCTGATCGCCCACCTTACATATACACCGCTGCTATCCTCATATCATTCTTAATCCCTACCAACTTTTTCCCCTTTAGTGTATTTTCATTACAACACTTACTACTTTAAATTCCTTTCGTCCCATGATATGCCCATCTTGACTATTTTAGTTTATTTTTTTCAATTTGTCAGATTTAATATTTTAATTTTGCCATCCCCAAAAGCTTGACGTTTTAGGTAGCTGATTATTTTGCATTTTTGCAACTTTTTTGGTCTGGCCGTGCATATATATTTTATAGTAAGTACCTACTGTATTTTTATTATGAATTTATATTTTAAAGCATAGGTATCAAAACCAAGTTTAGTCAGTTATTATTTATTTATTATATGGATGATTCAATATATGGTAAAATGCAAATAAAAATAACTGACATATTTATTTAACAATAGTATTTATAATTAGTACAGCCATTAATTAACAACTTGTCATAGCTTGGTTAGGTACCTACATTAAATATTTAAATTGAATACAATTAAGTAAGTAGGTAGGTATTTAATTTTAGATTTTGAGTGAAGCAAAGAAACTTATGGTTTTATAATGATGTTTAATGTATTCTTTTTATCTATGAACTACTAAGGATTTACTCTTCTACAAAACATCTTGCTTTGGTTTACTAGTATAGCAATTTTTCTTAATAAGGAAATCTTATTATAGGGTAGTACTTTATGGAAGTAATTTTTTATTGATTTTTCCCAATAAATGGGAAAAACAGAAAAATAGGTATAATATTAAACAAATATTTTTTAAGAAAATATATAATACATATTACCACTGTAATTATTTTACCATAGTATGGCATATAAAGAGTGATTCACTAAGCCTGTTCAACTCATTTTTTTTTTGGTTAAATTTTGCAAATATTCAAATTCTGACTTTTGGAATTTTGAATTTTAGTTAAAACCGATATTTTCAAATAAGTAAGGTACTTAGATTTTTCACAACATTTAAGCAGTATCCTGTGGTGATACCAACTATGGTTTTTCAAATGAGAACCTATGTTAAAAATTTGACAGATAGAGAGAGTACCTACTTATTACTTTAAATAAATTTTGGTGACTGAAATTAAACTATGGGATTTTTAATAAAGGTTCTCATTTGCAATCATTTGTGAATTAATCTGTATGTGGTTGATAAAGCAACACTATCAACCAAACTCCGCTCAGAATCGTTTTTTCGTTAGCAATAGTTAATCGTTGCTTACAGATATACATTAAATGATATACAACAGTGGCTGCATCCATCCCCATTATCCTAGGACAGCTTTTTAAATAGTTCAATGTAATAATTAATTTAAGGATTTAAATATGCACATAGCTGTACTGTATTATACATTTACATTTTAAAACCTTATTAATTATTTGAACATTTATTAAATTCAATGGTCAATAGGTATATACATACTTATTGAAAGTCTCAGTTATTAAATAACAAAAATATAATATTTTAAATATGTACACATTATAGTATTGAAGAATATTTTTTATTTTTATTGTAAAAAATAGCTAAATAGGTATATTAAAATATAATAATGGTACAATTTCTTAAAACGAATATCTACTTCCTTAATTTAGCCTGTGTTGGTGATGGGGTGCATGTTAAATATAAATGTTACAAAAGATAATAAGATAAATAGTTATGTACAGTATTATAATAGTTTAAGTAAATAAACCTAAACTATTTAATCTTATAATTAATTATAATACAAATTATTTTATACTTATTAGTTGTTTAATGGGCTTTGTCCGTGCTTAGTGTTGAACATTAAAAAATTTAAAAAAAATAATGTGTTGAGCATCTCTTTGACGTTCTTTGTTTCCACCTCCTGTTCCTGTCATAGGTAAAATTTGTTGTACTTCTATGTGTAAATATGAAAATTGAATCAATTGAGATGTGCACAATATTGAATGGAAAAAAAAGTGTGTTCCATTTTCACAGTTAACCAATTATTCAGTAATTTATTTTTTAAAATTAACAGACTATAAATGTTTTTTCTTATGTCAAGGTAATCAATAAATCAGCAAAAAAAGTTGATTTTTGTACTTAAAAATCAAGGGGATGAATTTGAAAACACCAGCTACAAAATACAAACAGACTCATTCATCCACTAAAGAATGCACATTTTCTGACCTCTGCAAGAGTTTTGGTTATTTATCATGCATAGACAAACATTTTCTTTTATTAACATGTTAACTGCGGTATGGGTTAAATTGGGCTCCTTGTGCGGAACTACTTTTATTACTTTTATGACAAGAATCGTTATCAATATTATAAAAAAAGCCACAATTTCAAATGAAGACAAATTTAACAATGTAAGAGGTTCTTACCTATGCGAAGTGTATGGTGCAAGAACAAATGAATTATTATAGTCTGGTATTATTGGAACAGCTAAGAAAATAATGACAAGTTGTCGACACCTGCTGCAGAGGACAACGCATCGACATCAATGTTAATAACGTGTTAATGACAAAAAAGAGTTAATATAAATGAAATAAAATATGAATGATTTTATCATAAGCATATAATTTCGAAAAATAGAAATATATAATATAGGGTGATCAATCGTATTATCCTTACCTATCGTAAGATACTCGTTATTTTAGAAAGTATTACTTTTTTCCAGAATATTTAAGAAACAAGCTATTCTATAATTTTATATTTATTTTACTTTTTATCACCCTTATTTTTAGGGGCAAAACGACCACTTACTTTTGATTTTCAAATGGCAATATATATTAAAAATTCCATAAATAGATGGAGTATTATTTAAAATAAATATGAGTGCTGACATTTTTGATTTCTCGTCAATGGATTATTGATGAGATATTCCACTTTTAAGTTTAGGTTGGAGGAGAGTAGTGGTTCATTATTAACATGCCACACAAATGATACTCCACTACTCTCCTACACCCCAAACTTATAAGTGGAATATCTTGTCAATGGATTGACGGAAATCAAAAATTTCAGCACGCAAATTTATTTAAAACATTATTACATTTATTTATGTAATTTTTAATATAGGTTCCTATTTGAATTTCAAATTAAAACCTCCCCCCCCACAAAAAAAAAATGTACAAATTATTTTAGGTGTTTATAAATAAAGAAACTTTTGTTTTAAATATTTTTTTAGATTTCGAATATTTACAGGAGAAAATTGCTGTAACATTAAATTCTGATCACTCTGTACATATATTTTGATATTCAAACATTTTTGTAAAAAAAAAAAAAGTAAGAAAATGTATGCACGTTATGATTAAAACAATACATATCAATTGTATGACAATTATATGTCAATAATACATCACAGTTTTTGCTTTAGCTTAGTTAATTATTCAGGTTTTTGTGAATTAATTTGCATAATGATAAGAATCCCTGGTTTTGGTTATAATAATATTTACCTAATAATGATAAGAAACTATATATACATTTTTTCAGTTCATATTGTTAATCTTAATTATTTATTCATATTATAGTTACCTACATACAATTAATTGTATTATAGTTTATACATTTAAATATTTGATATATTTATTTTCTTAACATTTATTTTTTTATTCATTGAAAAATTATTTTGCCTGAAAGACCAGACCAAGTTACATAAAAAAAATAATACATAATTTATTTTAGACCTCAAAATTATGTACTAATAGTACAAAATGATAGCATAATAAAATAAATGACAAAAAATAAAGTCCTTATATGGGATAGTAGAAAATAGAATTTTTTTATAAATTGTAATTACAATTAATTAATCACTTAACTTGGAAAATATTATAACATATAGTAAAATGACATACTAAATTATAAATATTATGTTCATTAAACAACATAAATGTAAGTATTATTTTAAGCCTCATATTAATAATTTGTAATAAAACAGTCGTTCATATGGTTTGTTAGTTCTTATGATATACTACAACTATTATTTTCTTTTTCTTGTAAATTACCATTGGCTTTTTCAATTTCCATTACCATAGTATGAAAAATGTCTGAGACACACTGTAAAATATAAAACAAATATTTAAACGATGGTTAGTCTCATAATACAATTATTTTTAATTTATTATCATTTAAATGTAATTCATAATTATAAAATTTCTTAAGAAAATAATATATAATAAAATAATGGGGCGTGAGTGACAGTTAAAATAAAATAATAAGGGATGTCAACTAACTTTTTTTGAAGTTACCTCATTCTGCTTAGCTGAAGCTTCAAAGAACTGGGCTTTCCATAAAGCGGCTAATTTCAGGCCTTCTCCCTCTGAGATAACACGATCCATGGGCAAATCCTTTTTATTTCCAACCAAAACTATAGGAACTCTAAATTATGGCCAAAAACAATTAAGACAATTATTAACTAATGGATAAAATATTAAGTTTCTCACTTTATTTTTCCAGACATATCTAATACTTTATCATAGATAATTTTTATGATTTCAAAAGATTTTGGTGATGTGATACTGTATACCAAAACATATCCGTGAACGTCCACAGAATATTGTGTAGGTAATATAGAGTATTCGTCTTGTCCAGCTGTATCAACCAATTTTAATTCGTATTCTTGATTGTTTACTTTGGTTGTTTTCACAAAAGCTATAGAAAAAATATTTATATTAAATAAAGTTCAATACAGGATTCATTAGAATTAACAATGTATTCATATATAGGTATTTACAAAGGAGCGTGAAACACTAAATTGAAAATATGCTAATCAAATACAGGGGCGATTAGAGAGAGATTTTAGCTAGGAAAAATACAAAAGTACTGGTCCACTTATTAATTTTCCAAATACTGAATTTTAGTGCAACATGTATTATCATTATTTTAACATGACTACACATTTCTTTTACACATTTGGAAAGATATTATGCACTGTAAATTCTGTTATTCGCCCATCATATTTGTATATAATATTTTTATTTGATTTAAAAAAAAACTTTATTCTTTTTGTATTATTGAATACTCTACTCTATCACAAGCTCAGACTTAAAGGAGTAAATATATTGTTTATATAATATATGTACCTATGTTTTAAAGACATTTTAAATTTAAAAGATAGGCAAATAATTACCCTTTCTTGTTGCTCCAGTCTAAACTTTAAACTGTTAGAATTCATTAATGGTAAATTTGATATTAATGTTATGCATATCAAATTTTCTAGAAAAATATTCTCTATTCAAATCTAAATCTGTGTTCAAAAGGGGGGGGGGTTCTTATTTGATAAGCAAAAGTATATACTTATTTAAGGTACATGGAGTAGGGGTGAAAAATTTCAAATGATTTTAAAATAAAGCTTAAATGATTCCATAATGAATAGAAAAAATAGAAATCAAATTCATTTAAAATCCTCAGATAATTTCTGGTTCATGATAAAAAAAATTACTCTGTATATATTTATCAGGTTAGGTTAACCTTATCATATAGAGTTCAATGAATGTACCATAGGTAAATAAAACAACTAAATAGCCAGCCACTATAATAATTGTTCAGAAATGCAAAAAAATCAATAGCTATTTTGACTCAGACAACCACTAGTAAAAAAAAAAAATGATTAAGTATTTCAGCATAATTTTTTGACGTAAAATACTTATTTGAAGAAGCGGCCCACTGTGAAAACTCCCAAATTCCCGGTGACCCAATCCACACCTGATTAAATAAACCACATCCTGATGTATTCTAGCATTAAAAATTGTTAATATGATTTTTAATGGTCAAAGGAGCTGACTGTGATTCAGAACATTAACTAGTTAAAATAAAACTGAAGGTGAAGCCAAAAAAATTGAAACACAGAAAAAGGATATTGCTGGATAGATGATATAAACAAATTAAAACACACAGATATATGAAGAAGTTTGAAAAAAAAAATGCATGAAGTAATGAGCAGTCTTGGCATAAATCAAGATGAGATTATTGATATTAAATGGAAATTGATTAAAAGAACTATAACAACAGTAATAAGGAAACAAAAGAAAGCAAGAAAGCCATGATTTAATAACTCTTATGCAGTTGAATTTAAGAAAAAAAAAAAAAAGAGGCTAGGGCTCAAAAGCACAATGGATCTTATAATAGAAAAGAAATGATGTACAGAAGGAAAGGAGACCAATAATATATTTAGACATGAATAGCCGAAATATAAAACAATATTTTAGAGAAGGCCGGGATTGACAACAAAGTAAATAGAATCTGGTAATTATACCGATACATCAACTCGATTAGGGGTGGAAACAAAAAATATGAAAATTTCCTTAAAAATGTCAATGGTCCTTTAATGACAGAAAATATATTGAAATTGGACAGTATTTACTGCTTAATTGTGCAAATCTAGTTAATGCATTTAAATAGGTACAAACAGAACTAAATGACATGAACTGTCGGCCAATAAGCAAAGAGAAAATAGTACAATAGTTCAATAGGTTAAAAAACTAAAAAACAAGAACTTGGAGGAAAAAATAGTAAATAAAATACATAATCTAATTATATGACACGAAAAAACACTACTGGAGGATTGAGATACATTAATTTGTCTTATTCACAAAAAAATGACCCGCAGGAATATTATAGGTGCATTGCTTTGCAAGATACAATGTATAAAGAATTGCATATTATATAATAGACAAAGTTAAGTGCTAAGTAGAGAATATACTAAGTGACTATCCGGGAGAATTTAGGCCCAGATCAAGGCTGAGATAAGGAGATTGTGTAAAAAAAAAGATATTAAATGAACAGACAAGGAGTTTGTTAAAGGGAAGCTGCAGACACTAGAAATATATGGCAAGCTTTGTATTTAGCAGTGTGGTCATAACGGCCAGATCCAAAAGAAGATTAATTAAAATACCTAACCATCTTTAGATATTATAATCTAGAACTTTATGCATGCAAATTAATTTACTTCTATAAAGTAATAAATAGTGAAATTTAAATAGGTAGATTTATGTATGGTAAGGGCCGTTTTCACTAACATAAATGTTGATTTTTAAATGGAATTTTACGATAACCGACCAATTCTGGTTAGTTTTCAGCCATAAATTCTGTTTAAAAATCAGATAAACAAGTGTTTATGTTGGTGAGAATGGGCCTTAGTGTGTGCACTTACTGTTCTCAATTGTGGGATCATAAGAATCAACAAATTGACCTTCAACAAATTGTATGCTTAATGACGATTTACCTAGAACAATAATGTTAATTAAAATATTGAACAAATTCGCCTTTATTTATTGCAATCAAAATATTTAATTTGTTTATTTTTACTATTGTTTACATACCGACTGAACGATAGCCCATAATGGCGATTTTTCGTTGTTTTGGTGGCATATTTATTCTTTAGTAGTATTATTAAATAAATCACAAATATTGAAAATGTAGGTATATTTTATGAAAAAACAAAATCAACTTTTTAAGCGAATATTTATCGTTTTCTATTGGTTTTTTAATTTGTCGTCGACAAGTACGCCGTCATGACTTTATTACGTTCTAATGTTATATTCTTTAATCTCTAAAATTTTATGGTTTCTGTTTATCAGTAAATATTTTAGGTTATGTTTGTAATCACAAATATTTAGCCTTGACTTCTTGAGTTGTTCTACGATTTACAATTAAAATATTCTATAAATTATAATCAAATACCTAGGTAATATATAATAAGTCGTGTCGCCAAGAAAGCAATTACAACATTATTGTTAAACTCATATCTACACAAATTATATGAATTGGGTGGAGTTTTATATTAAAAATGTCAACTGTTGGCATTGATAAACTGGTCGACTGTGTTATCAGTAAAAAGTAAAAACACTTGTTTTTTATTTTGTTGTTCCCATTTGTTGATATTGCGTTGCAATATTTATGTTACGAACGTCATAATACATTTTTTTAAAATAAATTTCGTGTTTTCGGCGACGAAATGTCGGTTATTGGTTGTCATAGTGTTTCGTGAAATGGCTCTTGTAGTTTTAATATTATCATGTTATTCCTATCTGTGTTTTATTATCATATTTTATTTATTTTTGTTCAGTTCATACTTCGTACCAGTATACTTGTCTATGGTTCATACTCATGTTCTCTCTCGTAGTCTTGTGTATCCACGCTATATCTTAAATAAATGTTTTGATTCTTTTGTATTATAAATATTAAATCTTTTCTGTAATATTAATAAATAGGTGGGTACCTATATTATTTAACTAAACAATCGCTAGTTGTCACCCAAGGCTTATAGATGATAGAGGTCGTCTCACAAATGTTAAGTACGGGTACCTTAGAAGTACTATGCCTCACAGTCGTGTAAACAAAATGAATCCCCCATATCCGTTCCCCTCGTAGTAACGTTATTGCCGCACACTGCATAATTATTCATTGTGTATTGGTATTCTAAAAGGAGAAACTGAGTACTGTTGATTGAATCTGTAGCCTTGGTACAAATCAACGTACAGTCCAAAGCACTAGGTCTAGAAAAACTTGACATATTGCACAGGTCCCTTATACAGTGTAGTCACAAACTATTAACCAAGGAAGGATTTTTGAAAATTTTATTCTTAAGGCCTAAGGAGTTAAAATAAAGGATGGAAATCTGTATGGTGGATTGCAAAGTGACCTAGGTAAAGGACAAATAACGTTTGAGATTTGAGAGACCGAAGTCCTTGGGAACTATTGACATTTTTGGAGGAGCAAAGCCCCCAATACTCTCCTCCCCTATTTGCGCTTATGGACACAGGCGCGTCTCAAGAGGAAGCGGCGGAGAAGGGTCATTCGCCTCCTAATAATTTTGAATGTATAAAAATTACTCTCATTATCAACAAAATAATAATGACTAAAATTTGAATATACCGTTATCAGTAGAAAAAGCCGATAACTACATAGATAGTTTTATGTGCCATTTACGTCTCCAAGGCGTATATATAAGACGAAAAATACGCCTATAGGAATTATTTATTTAAAAAATAGATTCGCCCTCCCCCCCCCCTTGAAAACTGTCTAGAAACGCCTCTGTATGAACATAAGCTATAGACATAGTTTTTATTCCGGAAAATATCTCATTTTATGGGAAACCTAACATATCCCTAATTTTGAAAAATGTATTACTTCATAGACGCAACTAGAAGGGGGGGGGTGCTGGGGGTCTTAAACACGGTGTAATCCAAATGGCTCCCATCCATTGTTTGTTTTTTCCAAAACGTCTCCCCTAAATTAGTGACCTAGTTGCGTCTATAATAACTTCGTTTTAACTCAGAACAATATTTCTTGCACATTTGGATAGGTAGAGTTCAATGAAAATTACTGTCATTTTTCCTTATTTGACTCCCAAAAATCATGTTTCCATAAAACTAACTACATATTATTGTAGACCGATTTATGGGAAACGGTTCTATACAAACACTTATCCGGCATATACATATACATTTTACCTATTTAAATTATATAATATTTACTAAGTATATATATTGTTTATTCAAAATATTTTCGTTTTTTACTTAATACTTATAAACATACGCATTATTATCGGTTTAATAGCAATATAATAGAAATACATATTATGTATATTATATATATTATGCTCAAAACAAAAAATAAAAAAATTAGATTTGTTCCACATAAAATTTGATATTAAAATTCCTTTATAAAAACAAAATACTAACATTAAGTTTATACTTTTTTTTTTAATAAACCTCCTGTTAAATTTTTAAGCATTTCTGTTTAATCTAACAATTTTACCATAGAGTACCTACCAAATAAAAATTACGTACTAAACAGCTAAATAGCTCAAAAATGGTTTAAATTTTTTAAAAATTTCACCACGTCTATAAAAGGTAAATATAAGTTTTCTGCAGACATTTTAATTCTCTATGAATTTTTTTAACTAAATTTCAATAAATAACAAAATTGAAAATAATAAAAGCATTATTATCGTAAATTTCTCGCTTTTCATACGTTTTATCCCGGTTTTTCCCAGATAATACGAAAACTACATAGAAAATTAAAAAATGACTTCCTCAACGGACTGTGTAGATACAATTTCTTTTAAAACAGGTGATACACCTGATACATCAGAATAAGGTTTGTGGTAGAAAGTTTTGTCAAAATATAAAAAAAAAAAACATTTGTAAAACTAATACATTTTTCGCTACACACAATTATTATTGATTTCATCACAATTATCAATAATATATTGCGTTAAAACTAAAAAGAAATTTCAATATTAACGACTTAACGAAATTCCTTATTTATTCATGTATTTAATTAACGGGCGTGAAGATAGCCAGTGATCTAGCAAGTGAGAAAAGATATTGAGACGTGTATAATAAGTTGCCTATACAAGATGTTATTAAGGAGCAGCTAATAAATAATTAATAACTAGACAATTTGGAAGTACTAGATCTTACTATGATCTTGCAATCTTATTATTTTTCTAAAAGATGTATCCAAATTTACGGACTAAAATAGAAAACTACAATCCGATACACAAACTTCAGAAGTGGTGAAATTCGACAGTAATATTAAAAAAGTAATGCATTAATAAATAAGCAATGATGTCAAGTTACATATTTTGTTGGTGGCTCGTTGTATTTTTAATTTCGTATCGTGTTCCGAGTGGTGGCCCGCTATGATACAAATATATTAGGAAAACTCCAAGTATAGTTTTGGGTGTTGAATTTTTGAGTGATTATCTAAATTGCTTGTTTCCTACCTTCATTTCACATTCACGATGACATATGACATGTTTTAAGCTCGCTGATATATACTTTTACCCAAAAACGTTCCAAATGAAAGAACCTATTATTTAATCCAAGTAAGATATATATATATATATACACATTATACTATCGGCTCCTCTAATTCAATGGATACCGCATTCCTTGTTCTACCGTTAATTTTCTTATACATAGGTTAGGTCAATATACCAGTGTTGACACTATTATTGTATAATATGAGGTATCTGCAATACTGTAAAAGTTTACATTATACACTCTGACCGTCTCACTGCACTATACTCCACAGCCAAACAACTTGCAGACGCCAGACATTGATTTTAAGTTAAGTATGATTAATTACTATTATTAGCCACGCCAGAAGTATATACAGACCGATGATCGCCGAACGGTGAGTAGTGGGTTGTCGAAGCGGGCGACGAGTGGTTATGACAAAACGCGCGGACAGCACCTATACGTCATTATACTCTTCTTATCAGTCTGTTATCAGTAATAATTGGGTGACTCGGGTCTAAAAAATGTATTAGTTCGATGCGGAATACGCGTCCGAAAACGCGGCGCATAAACCGAGTAGTTTTAAAATTACGTCATACGTACACAAATCGAAATTTAATTAATTTAAAACTCACTATCACGAAGACTTAAATAAGGAGCCGAAACTCCGCTTCTGATAACATCCCGAAATGAATCGCCCGATTAAACGACCACAGGTGGCACTGCGTACGCTAGAGTTGCCACTTTAACCCGCGTAGTGTAGGGATTATTCACGCTTTTTGCGTGTTTTGGAAAATGTATGCATTATTTTGAATTATGACCCATTATGCATTTTATACCTAGCCCGTAAAATTACGCATTCATACATGTGTACATGTGTTAATTTCATAGATGATTATTTTTTGTATAATAGAATAATCTAGTCTTCATGAATCATGGGATACGTCGGAATCAACATACGCGTACTCGCGTAGTCACGTGCAATGCTAAATGCGTGTGAACAACAACTGTATTTTATCGTTTTACAAATAAAAATAATTGAATTATCTCTTTGCTAGCTTAAACACAAGCAATTTAAAATCACATATATTCGATTTTATTTTTTAGTACACAACAGACGTTAATATTTATAATCGCAATTCGTAGGGAAATGACGACCAAGTCAAATTTTTACACACTGAGCAATTGATAAACCATTCGATAGTTTCAATTGTATTGTAGCTGAAATCTACTGGTCTAAACGAAAACCATAAAAATATTTATCATCGTATTTATGTTGGATTGCAGTTTATTAATGCTATCTCGCGCGTAATAGGTGGGTAATTTATAATAACAATTTTTGTCGGTAGTTGCCGTGAAGCAACACTACGGACTGTAGGGTATGTCTATGAACTATACACATATGCACATGTATAATTTACGGCCTACACAATTCGTAACGGGTCGTGATTCGAAATGATGAATATTTTCCGAAAAACGCGAAAAACATAAATAATCCCTATAGTAGTCTACGCGGGTTCAAGTAGCAACTCTGGCGTACGAATGTTACGCCAGAGTTATCTACGAATGTTTGTGTACTTCAAATAGAAATTATAATCTATTCGTGAGAACGTAGCGAGC